CGCTTTTGCACGAGACTCGGGCAAGAAGGAGATGCAGATGAGGCGGCGTAGGAAGGAGGAAGCGAGAGGGAGAGAGAGAGAGAGAGAGAGACTGTCCCCGCTGCTGCCGCGCGGTAAGCCCTCCGCTGCCGAGGCTGCCGGGGCTGCCGCTGCCCCCGCCCGCCGGCCGCGGGGTATTTTGATAAGCTTGAGATGAACCGAGAGGGGAGGGGGGAAGGGAGGGGACGCGCGGCACGGACGGGCCAGTCGGAGCCTAGCCGCCCGTGAGGCCGTGAGGCCGTGAGGAGGCGCACAGCTCTTAATTAATGGGTTTCTTTGTTTGCTCTCAAAATAGCGAAATGTATTGAAAGGCTGCCGGAGCGGAGCGCGGCCACGCGGCCACGGGGCGTCAGCCGCGTCAGCGCGGAAAAGCGCATCGCGTCTTCCTCACTGGAGTCCTGGAGGACGTCCCTGGAGTCCTGCAGGACGTCCCTGGAGTCCTGCAGGACGTCCCTGGAGTCCTGGAGGACGTCCCTGGAGTCCTGCAGGACGTCCCTGGAGTCCTGCAGGACGTCCCTGGAGTCCTGGAGGACGTCCCTGGAGTCCTGCAGGACGTCCCTGGAGTCCTGGAGGACGTCCCTGGAGTCCCGCTGGGCCGTTGCTGGGGAATCCGCCGGCCTATCAAACCGCCATGCCTGTAAATAACCTAGATCCCCGGCCATAAGTCATGGGGCGTGGCGGAACAGCTCTCGGCCACAAATCCTCGCCACTTGTCGCTGTCACCGACGAAGACGGCCCCGACGATGAAAATCAAAACAACCATTCAGCCGCTTTCGCCCCGCGCCCCGCGCGCCGCGCCCCGCCTCCAGGTTCTCCAGGTGGCCCCAGAGCCAGGCAGCCGCCCGCCCCGCCCTTCTCCAGCAAGCTGACTCCAGTGCTCCAGTGGCTCCAGTGGCTCCAGTGGCGCCTCCAAAGCCGGGCCGGGCTTGGCTGGGCTTGGCTCCAGATCCCCCTCTCCCTCCTGGATCTTCTGGATGGGCCGATATACCGCACCACCCCTTCCCCTCCTCCAGCCATCCAGGCCAAGCCCCTATTCGGTACCGAGGGGCCTTACCCCCTCCCCCCCTCTCTCCCTTTGAAGCGCCCTGCCTTGCCACGCCGCCCATCCGCACGCTAACACACTGTTTTCTCAGCAAACACACATCTGCACGGCCCGTCGCCTGCCTCCCCCGCCGCACCGCGTCGCGCCGCGCAGCGCAGCGCAAGCCGTGCCGCGGCGAGCCGCACCGTTATCTTCGGCGACGTGCTGCCGGCATCGGTGGCCGCGGTGCCGGCCTCGGTGGCCGTGGTACCGGAGGCCAGCACCACAGACTGGAAATTGGCGCGCCATCTTGGCGGCGCCGGCGGGGCGGATGCTGGAGGCTGGCTGCTGGCGACCGCTGGGGGCGAGGCGGCCGTATCCGGGCGGGGCTCCGGGCGAGAGGGGGAGGGGGGGGGAGGGGGAGGGAGGGCTGCCCTCCGCGCCGCCGCGTCACGCCGAGCAAGAGGAGAGCGAGCGGAGAGCCGAGTTGAGAGTGGCTGCAAAACGCCGTCCGCATTGTTCTGTGGGAAACGCCTGCAACTGTTGCCCAGCGTAAAAGCGAAACTGTGTCGGCTCGGCCCGGACTCTGGACCCCGGACTCTGGACCCCGGACTACGGCCGGGGCAGGATCAAGGCGGATGGGACCCTCCTCTGGGTCCTTCTGGGTCCGAACGGCCGGGGCCCGAAGGACGCAATCACTCCAAGCATTATCTGCACTCGCCAGGCAGGAATCTGCATTCTGCAGTAACGTTGGTGGTGTTGAGAAACGAGGGTGGTCGCGGAGGAAAGGGGTCGAAATGTGCGTCGCAGCGTCGCAGCCTGGTGCCTTTCCTTTCGCGCGCCTTGGGCGGCGAGGCAGCGAGGCAGCGAGGCAGCCAGGCAGCCAGGCAGCCGGACTAGAGTTATGCCTCCCCAGGGCACATGTGGAGGAAGAAGGGGGGCGGCACTTTCGGGGGAAATCCCGTGCCGGCGCGTATCTCTCTCCTGGATCGACCAGCAGCCTCGTTCTAAACGGCGGTCCGTCGCTCTGTCTCTCTCGCACTGCAAGCACCCCGACGGAACGCCGCGCACGAGTGCGAGAGAGACCGTGACGTCAGTTGAGAATCAGCCCGCGGACCGCTGGAGGGAAGGGAGGGAACTGAAGCGCACAGGCGCACGCCGTCAGGCGCGCCCCCGCAGCCCCGCGCCCCCGCAGCCCCGCGCCCCCGCAGCCCCGCGCCCCCGCAGCCCCGCGGGGACGCCTCGCTGGCTGGCATCGCTGGCATCGGAGAGTGAAGGCCGCGAAGGAAAAAGCGCCCCTAAAAAGGGGGAGCCGAAATTCTCGGATCTGGGAGGAAAGAGACGCGGCGAGATTTGGACACACACACACACTCACACATGTCCCTCACACACACGGACATGTGGCGGTCGAGCGAGGGGGCGTTGCCGGTGTCTGGGGTTTCCGGGAGCTTCGCAGAACCGAAAGGTACAAGTCCCACGCCGGGCGGTTGCGTCACTTGACCGTCTCCAGGCGTCAAGCCTCGGGGGGCGGGAGACATATTTTATTGTGACACCTCAGCACTGGCAGGGTACGGCAACCGTACGGCAGGATGTTCGGCCAGGCATCTGAGTCGTAAACCGTCCAGGATCGCTTTCTCTGACGCGTTCGGCAGGTTCGCAGCACGCAGCGACCAGAAAGGGCGGGAAAATTTGCATATTCTGTCGGGGCTCGAAACCCACGACCAACGGTAAACCGACTTTTCTAACGTCCAAATGCAGCATTTTCCGTCAACATCATCATCAACGCTGCTAGGCCTATGCAGATGATCTTTAGCGGTTCGAGTCAGCAAGACACTTCGACCTCGCGCGGCCTCTCCGCAACCTCAGATGCGGTAGGGTTTCGGGTTTGTGAATTTGAACGGTACTACCAGTACTGCTTTTCGGAAGACAAAATAAGGGCGATATGTTTGGAGGGTGCCCAAGACATCCGTCTCACACAGCACTTGACATGGTCCAGCCGCATCGCTGGCCGCCCCTCCCTTCCTGAGACGCGGGGCAGGGGCGGGGGGGGGGGGGCGGGGCGGGGCGGGGCGGGGCGGGCGGGGGGGGCGGGGCGGGGCGGGGCGGGGCGGGGCGGCGCGGGGGTGAGGGGGCTCCCCCCACGAGTCATCTGGGCTCGGACGGGCGAGACAGCGCGGCACCGCGTCTTTCTCTCTCGCACTTTCTGTCTTTCCAATGACTTCCTGCTGCCGGCGTGCAGGGCCGTGCAGGGGCGTGCAGGAGCCCCGCATCAGCCGGCTGTACCCTCCCACAAATTAAATAGACACGACCCGAGGACAAACAAATAAGGGGCTGGCCGGCCGGCCGAGGCGTGGACGAGGCACGGCATAGCAGGACAGGGCGTTGTTGGTGAGCCCGAGCAAATACGGCGCGGACGCGACGCGCGCGCCGCCCGACGGGGCGCGGTGCCCAACGGGCCGACGGGCCGCGGAAGCATGAATGAAACGGGAAGACTCAATGGAACCACGGCGCCAACTGGTGCCCTTCACTCTAAGACGGACACAATCGCTCCACTCAAAGGTAGAGCGCTACTATTTAAAATTTTCATTTTATTTTTATTTTTCCAGTGGAGCCACACAAGTCCTTTGCCGTTCCTAGGCATATGCAGTGCCGTGAGCAACAGCACATCCTGTTGCGGATGAAATCCGATCGCCCGGCCCTGCTGCCGCGCTGCCTGCGGAGGTCCTGGCCGAGGTCCTGGCGGCCCAGTGGCAGAAGGCCCTGCACTGGAAAACGAGCTGGAGATGAAAACGGCGACAGGGGCGCTCGCAGTGCAGGTGCGTCCCCACGCTCGCCGGCGGCAGTTCGCGGTTCGGATCCTGCCCCGGGATTCGGCGCTTCGCGGGAACACATCATGCATAAAACTCGCGGCCCGACCCAACCCTCATCAACAAGGGTCACGACTTGGAGTTTCCCGCGCCAAACTATATTCCAAGTCGAGGAAACTTACGACCGCCGCCGTGAGGCGGGGAAGGGGGAGGCGCATCGACGGAGGGGCGCGTTCTGAGAATCCTGAGAATGGAAGCGCGCTGCTTCCACAGTGTGCTTCCTCGTGGCATCGACTCCCGGCCGTGCCGTGCAGCGCCAGCCGCAGCGCAGTGCCCAGCCCGGTTTGAATCAAAGAAAAATGGGCGCGCCAAAACTTGGCGGGAATTGAGATGCAAGTCAAGACGCCGGGATGCGAGCACGCCGCCCCGCCGGGGCTGCGTCCGCGGCACGCCCTCCGCCGCCGTCTCGGTCACTCTGTCCTTCGGGGCCACGGCCTTCCCTCTTCGCCGCCGGCGTTTCGAACGCGGTTCGGCGGCAGCCTTGCGGCAGCCCGGGCGGTGCTCGGCAACTCGGCGGCGCGGCCCCGTGTTGATACTAAGTTGGCGAGTCTTACCCGAGTTAGCGTATAGTTGGCGGTATGCTCCTTCACGTCAGCACGTTGTGTTATCTAAGATTGTTGTTTCAAGTCGCGATTCCGAGCCCCTTCGCCTTCGCGCGGCCCGGTTGGCCCGGTCTCCCGGAGCAATCATCCTGCGGGACCTCCGGGGCACCATCCCATCCCACCGCATGCCCCTGTAAGGACTCTACCCCTGCCGCCAACGGGGACTCTGCTTCGGGCTTTCGAGCGACAGCCGAGCGATTCGGGAGATCGGTTTGTCGCCCTCTCTCTTTCTTGCACCCTTTAAAAGAGTGAGAGGCTCATGCTTGACGGAGCAGTTTGTTGAACGTCCTTAACCCCGTGAGTAGGTGTCGGATGGGATGCCTGCGCTCTCGGCGGCCGTGTCGCTTGGGATGCCAAATGGGTTGCCTGCCCGTCAGGCGCCTCGCCGCCACCCTCAATGTTTTAACGTAGACTCATTGGTGTCGTGTTCAAAACAAATGGTGAGGTAAACAAAAGACAACAAACTCTCTATACTGGGAAAAGACTGTTTATTCCAAAGCTTCAAAAGCTCAAAACTTTTCAGATTTAAAAAAAAAAATGCAAATCGGGCATTAACATCCTTGAAATTGATATGCTTTAAAATATAGTAAGTTTCACAGTCAAGAGGTTGCGCCTGCGCCTTTAATTTCACTCTTTTTGATCAAAAGTGGAGAAGGACAAAGAAAATGAAAGATTTAGGATACAATCAGATGCAATTATCATACTTCATAAGAATGACATTTTGCAAGTACAGCAGGTTCTTTTAGTGACCATTCATGCCTCATGTAAAAACAAATAATCTTACAATCATAAATATTGTACACTACAAACACATATTATACTCTCATCCTAAGTCTACAGGATTAATAATTTATTAAATACTTGTCACATAAATTGCTCTTTTCTCGACAAAAAATTAAATTCTCTGTGTTCTAAATTACACAGACACATATTCACACATGCTTTTTGAAAACATTATAAGACAGGAAAATCAAATGAGAATTTAAACCAAGGCCAGAGGAGAATGGAAATACGTAACAGTGTATTTTTTTTAACAATATGCTGGCATTTAATAAATGAAAGGCTCTCCAATGGTTCTATACTGTCATGTTTGACTACTAATATATAAATAGAATTATCACAGAAATTTTGACCCTATGGTCAAACTGCATTATAAATATGCAACATCACATCAAAGGAGATTAGTTTCATCTTCACAAAGTAGATTATTACTTTTAAAATAAGTATAAAATCTTTCAATGTACAAGTAAGGCTAGTACCGTAGCTCCTCATTTTACATCAATAATCATCATAATCATAATCCCCACCATAGCAGTCATCTTCGCCTCTGTGTTGGTTTAGCATGTGAGATATTGACATTCCCTGGTCCGGATGCTCTTCTTCAGGTTCCATGTCTTCATAGTCCTCTGCATCATCTAAAAATTAAAGATTCATTGGTTAGAAAATTGTTGATGATTAGTGAATCATGAGATGTCTACAGTATTGAGGCTTCAATTTACCTGCTTCCTCGGGGGGATTAGAAGCAGTGGTAACTGGAGTAGCTGGAGTATCTGGGAGTATTGGAAGCACAGCAGACTCCATCTTCTTCCCTCTCCGGATGGCTGTTGCCACCCTGGGTGCTTTCTTTTCGGTTTTTATGACCTTGAGAGGGGGTTCCACTACAGCTTCATTCTCTGACTCCAATCTTTCCCTACATTAGAAAAGGAAGAAAGAGGGGAAGAACCAGAAACATAAATTATGGTTGCTCACAAACAATGCCAGATTCAAGATACAAATAAATTCACCTCTTGCTTTCGATGAGCCGTGATGAAGTGACAGGCACCAGGTCTGTGTGTAGGTCAACCGTGAGGTTTTTAAGAACATCATAATTAAGTTTTGAAGACATTTTTTTCTCTTGTAACATCTTTTGGACTGCCTCACCTGAGAAAAAATTTTAAAAAATAAGAAACAAGATTTAAAAACTATAGTGGAACTAAACCAAAGTCAGTATAAAGAAAGAACAAACCAGCAGAACCACTTGATGAGCCCACATTTCCTTTGGCTTTTTTGTTGCTTGGCTTTCGCTTCTTCTTTTCAGGTTTGCCTTCCTCCTGATCGCGTTTGGCCTTTTCTTCTTTCTCTGAAAATTCAAAGAAGTCTGGTCAGCTTTTACTCTTTAGTAAAAAAAACAAAAGTAAAATTACATACTTATTAATGCTTTTACCTTTAAGTTCTTTTAAATAATCTGCATTCACTTTCATCCAAAGAGAGTCTTTGTTTAGAGCCTCTTGTTCAGACATGATATACGAATCAATTTCATTGTCATCAATATCATTTAAATCTAATTCCCCTGTTTGTTGGGCTTCTGTTTCCTCCTCTATGGGCTTTTCTCGTGTGCTTTCTAAAAGTCCCATACTAGCTATACTTGGACCTAGGAAGGAAACATAAAACATACTTGTAAATAGAGTGAAATTTAACAGAATGAAAGAGATTTAGAGAGTCAACCTACCTAATCCTTCAGAGGGTGTGTTTTGATTACTGGTACTGGCTGTGTTAGAGAGACAATCCTTTATGACTCCAATAGTGGATTGAGAGGCAAAACGATCTGCTTCAGCACTTTCGGGATCTAAGGTAGGATCTGCAGCAAAAGCAAACTAGTAAATGAAAAGTTCAAGCTTACTTCAAAAACAAAATAAAAAACAAGGTTGTGACATGACGTACTAGACGGTCCCTCAGGAGGACTCCGCAAAAGTGAAGCAGTAGCAGAAGAAAATCGTTTGGACCTTACTTTGCGGTCTTCTAGTTGTCTCTCAATTTCTTTTTGTAGTTGGTTAACGTGGCTGTCCATATCATTTTCATCCATCAGCTGTAAAAAGCAAAAATAAAGGAAATTAAGTTGTCTTTTTATTCATAGTAATTCATACCAATTCCACAAACAAGTCAAACCTTTTGAAGCCGTTCTCTGTCCTTTTTCCGAGCTGCTTTGAAGGATGGAGGGTCCTGCTCCTCTTCCAGGTCAACACTCATGAACTCATCAAGTGTCAGTGCAGACGAAGGCGTTTCACCAAATTCCATCAACCTGTTCCAAAAATATAATTTTGTGACCATTCTCAAGAGTTAACGGAACTCTTCCCTGTGGCTCCAGGTGCAGCTTACCCACCTTTTACGCAAGGTTGACTCATGCACCTTGACTACCCTGATGACGTCGTCTACGGTGCGGTTGAACTCGTGCAGCCTCGCAGCAATCAGCAGAGCTGAAAAAATTTTCATTCGTTTAATCCATTGAGAATTGACGGGCACCCGGGCGAGTCGTCTCCAGAATGCGCTACCTGCTCCGCACAGGCCCGACGGCCGCCTGCCGGTGTGGATCGAGTCCCTCTTCATCCGCTGCACCAGACGCAGGGCCGTCATGGACACCTGCTGCGTCTTCTTGCCGAAGTCCAGCCGATGGGCGAACCGAAGAATGTACAGGCAGGGGTCTGCAACAAACGACAGGGAAGACTTCAACTTCAGCACAAGCGAGAAGCACCAGGTGACGGCGGTACCCCACGCCGGCATGAGAAGCACGAGGCGCGTGGAGTATTGCCGCCGGGGCACTGCGGGCCGTGGACTGTGGACGCACTTCGCCCGACTTTCACCGTTCCCCGACAATAATGAGATTCTAGGGTGCGAGACGCGCACCACAACAACTCTGATAGTGCTCGCGGCTCGCGGCGGGTAGAGGACTCAAGTGACGCCGCGCCGCGCGTGGCGGTGCGGCTGACTGCGGCGTCCAGGGAATGCCAGCCGGGGCGCGGGGTATCGCCGGAGGCGTGCCCGGCAACAGCTCACAACAGCTCTAGCCTGGGGGAGGTTCTCGTTCTCACCACCGCAGACGAACCCCAAATTTAAAGAACCCAACCCCAGAGCCGTAACCAAAGGTTGCTATCGCTACAGCACGGAGTGAACGGAGGGCTGACATTTCGGACCCCAATTTCTCATTGTTGCCGCGCCGGACTGCGGGCGCAAAGTGCGCGAAACTGCCAAACCCAACCCGTCAGACCCCCGCTCGAGCCCCTTTGCCTTCGCGGGGGGCCACGTGTGTCCACGTGCATCCGAAAAGCTCGCGGACGCCGCGCCCTGCAACGCCACCAGTTCGATTACGCGTCACCGCCGAGCCGTTTCTAATGAGATACTTCGAGTCGCTTCAATCAGACCCGAGTCAGGCCGGCGTCAAGGCGGAGGCGGCGGAGTGTCGGAGGCCGCCGCCGTGGCTCGCAGCTCACTGCAGGCCCACACCGTGCCCAAGCACTGCGGGGGCAGCTCAGGCCGACGGGCAGGCCGCCGAAGGTGCTCCGAGGGCCCTTCGCAGTGAAGGCTTAGGCTTGGCGACGTGGCTCGGCGCTGTGGCGGTGGTGGCGGCGGAGGCTGCCGTGCCGCTGCAACTTGAGCCAGCCAGCAGCGAGCCTCCAGCCGGAGCCTCCAGCTCCAGCGGCCCAGCGCTCCAGCGGACTGCCGGCCGGCCGCGCAGCGCGCAGCGACGCGCAGTCACAACAACGGCAACGGCTGGCTGCAGCTGGACCGCCTCGCCACGCCGGGCATCCCGCCGGCCCGCCAGGTCGCCGACGTCGCGAAGCTGAGACGCGCCGCAGCGGCCCGTGCACCGCGCCGACGACCAGTGCAGCTTCAAAGTGTGTGACAACCAGTGCAGCAGACAGTGCAGTGACAATGGCGTTCCACCTCGAGCCCCTGCGCGCCCTGCTGGAGAACTGGGCCTGCGACGACCGCCTGGAAGCAGTCTTCCTCCAAGGCAGTAAGTATCCAAGTACCCTCTCGCCCTCGCCTCGGGTTTTCCTGGTCTCCTCGAGAGCGCCGCGGACGTGCTTCGAGGCGTGCTCTGGCCCTGGCGGCCAGGCCCGAGGACCTCGTTGGGGATGAGCATGGAGTACCCCGCCTGCCGCTGCCCGGTGTATTTCCAGGCCAGCACGCTGGAAGGCGGAATACGCCACGCCGCCCGGAAAGCTACCGGCGCCGGGGAACGCCCGACCGCCGCAGGCTACCGCAGGGCCCGTAGGACATGCAGCCGCGCAGGGCAGCGGGGGCGTGTGCGTGACAACCCGCGGTCTGAATATCTTTCGACACTGGCCCTCGGTGCCATCGCTTCGCACTGTAGTATCGCTTTCCCCGGACGCGATCATGCTGCGCTGACTTAAGGTGCACTGGGACAAGTGCGGTGCATCGCACGGCATGGCATGACCATGGCCGCGGGCAACAGAGGGCGGGCGGTCGAGAAACAAGGCCGGATCATGGCAAGCTCTCTGGTCCACCCAGACCGCCGCCGGCTGGTCTCCGTTAGTCTCCGTCGGCCAGGTCAACCTTCGGCACCGCCGGTCCCCAACACCGCGCACTCAACTTGGTTAATGAAGGAACTGGGGCGTCATTAAAAGGGGGAGGCGAGCAGGCTGACTCCGAACAGTACTGTCTCTCTCGCACTCGGCTGGGCTGGGGCGGACCGTAGGGGTGCGAGAGAGACAGAGATAGGGAATCCGCCGGCCTGGGCGTGCGTCACCTGTCAGCGGCGCGCCGCGTGGCCGCGTGCCGGCACTGGCGGGCGGGGCGGAGCACCGCGGAAAAACGGCAAAGCGGGAATCGAACCAGCGAACCAGCGCCCAGCCGACTGACTGCCAACGCCCACTCCGTCGCTGACATCTCATGAGACAGAGCTAGGCAAGCTCTGTTCGGAATCGCTCTGCTGGGCATCTTCAGCGCCTGGTGTAGAAACGGCAGTCAGTGAGCGCCTTGCCTGCACAGGGCACAGGTACAGAAGTCAAACAAGGTCGAAATTGGGCTCCGCGGTGGAGGGGGGAAGGCCCGGCGCGAAGCGCGAACGGTGCGAACCGGCGTGGCGGGTCGGTCGGCCTGTATTATGGCTGCGGTGATGTCACAGCCAGTCCCTTCCTTACGCCAGCGTGCTGGCTGTGCCTGGCTGTGCCGGCCGCGGGGTTGTGTGTTTTGGTGATGCAGTCAGCTGCGAATCCTCGCCACCGCCACGCCGTCATACCCTGCCCGCCGTTTCAATTCAGATTTCGGCCGTGAGCGGCTCGCACGGCCGGTCCGGGCATAGAGCCCTTCTATTCAGGGGCCTCACACGCATATCCATCGGCATAAAGCTTCGCCTGGTTCACCGCCAGCGCGCAGCGCGCAGGGTCAAGCAGCCGGCTGGAAACAAAACGGCAGCCAGGAAGCTCTTTCAGTGGAGCCAGTTCGCCAGTTCACTGCACTCCGACTTCCGCGACGAGTCGCCCGGACTCGCCGCGCATATCAACAACCGTCTGCTTGTCTTGCTTGACTTGGCGCGGCGGCGGAGGCACTCAGTTTGGCTATTAAATGCGCGGGGGTACCGAGGAAGTGGCCGGCACGGCACACGGCACGCCGCCACGCGGAAGCGAAGCAAGCGAAGCAGGCCGTGATAATGCAAGGCAAAGTCCAAGTCCAGCCAGGCCCTGCTCTCTCCTACGCTACGACTAGTACTTCCCTCCCCGACGCGCGCCGCGTGCGCCGCGAGCTAGCCGCCCTGTTCCCGCGGAAAAGGTCCCCGTCGCGACAGCGTCCGAAAACGACACCCACGCATCTCGCTCCCGTTCATCGCCATGGGTAAGACGGAGAGGCTTGCACGCGTAGAGGCAGAGGCGGGCCTTCACCGCAGTGCGCCAACGCGGCGGCCAGACGGCCAGACACGCGGGCAGACGGACGGACCGCGACGACGCGCGGAGCAGAGCGCCGCCAGCGCCCCTGGCGAGCTCTGCCGCAAGCTCTATCGATCACAAAGCAGCCAGCAGCCCGCAGCAGACAAACTCTGCAGTAGACAACACGCAGTGCAAGATGGCGACTTAGTCGGGCTGAGGAGCAACCCATTCACGACCATGGCGATGTCAAATCTCTACTCCAAGATCGCGCCCAAACCCGAGAAGGAGCGGCAGCGGTACAGGGAGCTGGCGGTCACCCAGACCAACGCCTGGGTCAACGGTGAGTGGCCAGGCAGCCCCGTCCTGGGCGTTCTGGGCGCCCTGCCCCCGCCCTCGCGTCGTCTGCACGTCTAGCTTTGTTTTGGTGGGGCCCTTGGAGGACCCCCGCGGCCGTGGGGCTCCAAAGGCGCCAGTCGTGGGTGGGCACCCTCAGCAAGGCCCCACAGGCTGGACGGCAAGCCTGCGGAGCCTCCAGGACCTTGTGGAGCCCCTGCCCAGCAAGGACCCCAAGCGCTGGTGCACTGTCTGGAAGCCCCCCCCCCCCCCTCCCCCACTGGCAGGCGCGACCACTTTCACCGCGGTATTACGACGGTTAGGTAACTGCCTCCTCGGCCCCTTCGGCCCCTCGCCTCGGCCCCTACGCCAGACCAGAGTGCGCCCCGGCGTCGCGTCGCCCACGAGACGCGTCCGACGCGATGAAGCCGCCCGTCCCGTCCATCCAGCAGGAGGAGGACTTGTGTCAGGACGCTTGCGCTGGACTTCCCGTCAACTGTTTGTCGCTTGCAGCAGGTTGTCCATTACAAGAGTTCCGTGTCTTGTTAGTGCGCTAAAAAGAAATGTGGAAGGGGGGCAAAATAGCGCTCAATCTTTTTGATTTGACAATTGGACTCACAAGACGATATTTTTCTGTTTCAGCTGAAAGTTGCAACAATGGTGGATTTTCAATTACCCCACCGAACAGCGTCTCACAACGTGAGGCCATGCAAATTCTACAGCCGGCCAGCGCACCCACTTCACCTCTCGCATCACCCAACCTGACATCAACGACAAGCACAACATTCAGTTTGAATGTGGCAGGTTGTAGCTCAGAAATGACAACATCGAACAGCAACGGCTCATGCAGCAATACCACAAGCAACAGCAGTTCATGTCTTTTACTCCAACATGGGCAAGGCACAGTAGACCCCAATTGGCAAGCTACAAAACCTAGTGTACGAGAACGTAATGCCGCCATGTTCAATAATGAACTCATGGCAGATGTGCGCTTCATGGTTGGAAACCCTGGTGAGTACAACATTTTGTAAAGAATAAGTTTGGTTTCAATAAGTCCTGTACATAATGCCTTTGCTTTTTCTTAGGGCACACCCAATGCATTCCAGCCCACAAATATGTGCTGGCCACTGGTAGCTCAGTATTTTATGCCATGTTTTATGGTGGGCTTGCTGATGACAAGGAAGAAATTGAGGTACCTGATGTTGAACCACCAGCCTTCCTAACTTTATTAAAGTAGGTATTAAAATTATTAGCTTGTTTTATGTGTCATACTGTTCTTGAATTAATATACCTCATTTATTCCTTCTTTCTAGATATTTATACTGTGATGAAATACAACTAGAAGCTGACACTGTTTTATCTACTCTTTATGTGGCTAAAAAGTACATAGTCCCACATTTAGCTCGTGCTTGTGTCAACTACCTAGAAACCAGTTTGACTGCAAAAAATGCTTGCTTGTTGCTAAGTCAATCCAGACTATTTGAAGAGCCAGATCTAATGCAAAGGTGCTGGGAAGTCATCGATGCACAGGTACGTGCATGTGGGGCAGATGAGTGTGTAGAAGAGGATGATGAATCAGAAGCATATCTCTAACAACTACTTTTAAGTAATGTAATCAGATGTGGAAAAAAATTCATCCTATGAAAGTAAGAATTCATATTGTGAACAGAAAGTACAAAGAAGTACAAACTTTAAAATTGAGTGTCAGTATACGTTCAGATACAATTGATGTTGAAGATGTACATGTTAAGACTTGCCAAATGACAAGACTGGGCCCAATTCAAGCAATCGCGAGCTAATCTGGCAAGTCACATTTTTGTGTCTAGGCCCCAATATTATATTATATGTGATATCAGGAAAATATCTAGTCAGTATGTGAAAGCTTGTGATGAGTAATAAAATTTTCAAGGAAATGTAGAAACTGCTCTCCATTTTTTCGGACCTATTTTCCTGGGATCTCAGCAGGGTTGGGAAAGAAATTTAACAAGAGTCACAAGCTTTACAAGCAGTTAAACTAGATTAACTAAATTTTATAATTCCCACTTGAGACAGTAAAGAAACCTTATGGAGTTGGGAGCTGCAATGTGATTGCCATCGCATAAATTGTATTCTGCAGTGTTTAATTTATTTGTATTTGCTACAGGCTGAGATGGCTTTGAGGTCAGAGGGCTTTGTTGACATTGACATGGCTACTCTGGAGTCCGTTCTCTCAAGAGAAACCTTGAACTGCAAGGAAATGCACTTATTTGAAGCAGCGCTCAACTGGGCTGGAGCTGAATGCCTTCGGAAAGAAATTGATGCAACTGCAGGTACTTCAATTTTCCAAATTTTGAAAAGTGTATTAAGTTATTTGAAATTGTTTTGACTGCCATTTGTGAGTTTCTCTTGCTTTCCAGATAACAAGAGAGCTGTTCTTGGCACGGCTCTTTTCCTCGTTCGGTTGCCCACAATGAGCCTAGAGGATTTTGCCAATAGTGCGGCACAGCTGGGAGTCCTTACACCGCAAGAAACAATAGATATCTTTCTGCACTTCACAGCGCACAGCAAACCTATGCTTTCATTTCCGACTAGAGCTCGCGCTGGTCTCAAACCTCAGGTAAGACAAAATTAGAATGAGACTTGTCAAGTTAACAAAAATTAAAGCTCTTAAATAATATGTTTTTAAAATGTTTCTTTGTGTGAACAGGTTTGCCATCGGTTCCAGTCATGCGCCTACCGAAGCAATCAATGGCGGTATCGTGGGCGATGCGATTCCATCCAATTTAGTGTGGATAAAAGAATTTTTGTCGTTGGCTTTGGCCTTTATGGGTCATCTAATGGTGCAGCTGACTACACAGTAAAAATTGAATTGAAACGACTAGGTCGAGTACTTGCTGAGCACAATACAAAGTTTTTCTCTGATGGTTCCAGCAACACATTCCATGTATACTTTGAACATCCTATACAGGTATGAATTTTTACATCATTTTGTCATAGTTAAGTTGGAAATGAAAAAAAAATAATACTAAGAATTTAATTTCCTTTCTTTAGGTGGAACCAGAAAGCTACTACACAGCTTCTGCCATTCTTGATGGTGTTGAACTAAGCTACTTTGGGCAAGAAGGCATGAGCGAAGCAGCAGTTGGAGCAGTCACATTTCAGTTTCAATGTTCTTCCGAAAGCACAAATGGTACAGGAGTTCAAGGAGGTCAAATACCAGAACTCATTTTCTATGGGCCCTCTCAACCCCTTGAAGATCACTGATACATGTATCAACTGGGCCTGGCAGTCCGAAGGTTCTTATCAGTCATACAGTGCAGTCTGAACAAATTTCAACCAAACAGGAAGACAAAAAAGGCTCAGAAATATAATTTACCTGAATTTGACGATGAAAGACCCACCCAAGCTGAAGCCAAGAAGCAAAACAAATTCAAAACTCCTGGAAAGTTGCTTTTATCCAGTATACATGCATTGGCAAGTGGTTTGGACTGCATGCGTGTTCAACAAGCTTTCTGATATTAATTGGAGCTCAAGAAATGAAAACAAGATGCCTAGTGCCAGGTAACCAGTTACAACAACCCTTTGATTTGAAAACAACTGTTATTGAAAAAATACATGAGAAGAAATAGATCTCTGAACGCTTTGTTTCACCGGTCCCCAAAACAATTGTTGGCTGTAAATTTTAATTAGTTCCTATTGGTGACCAAGGTAGACAATTCTGAGAAAAACTTGCATTGAATTTAAAACTTAATAGAACCTTACTCAGCAATAGCACTTTAACTACCCTGTTTACAAAGAGTTGAACGAGGGGCGTGCCAATGTACTAGAAATTGGACTGCACTATTTTAAATCGCAATTAACGTAGGGGAATTTTGATATTTTACGAGGAAATACATGAAATGAAACTGTACTGCAGTATAGTTTCACCAGCTTTCAAGTGAAATACTTCAATTAATACATGAATAGGAAGGTATCTACTTAAGAGGATATTTTGTTTTCACGGGAATCATGAAAATTTTATCCAAATGTCATAGTGACCTAAAAATATTTTTTTTGACCTCTTTAATTGACACCAATAATGTAAGAAATATTTATCTAGCATCTTGAACTTATTTTTAAAAAGGAGAAGATTGTTACCCTGTTACATTTGTATAGGTTTAGTAAGATGTCTGGCTGTGCAGAACAAATTCAATTCAATTGTATATTCTTAATAGTCTTGTTTCAGTGCATCCCAGGGTAAAATATAAATAAATCGGGGACAGAGCCACTTTAAATTTTATTATGTATTGTTCGAACTTTGATACTCTGTTTAGGTATAGCTTTAAATAGTCTTTTGGGCAATTTTATTCTAAACCCAACCTGCTAAGCACATACCTTTGATGTAAAATTATTGCACAAGATAATCTTTGAAAAGTTGAACTTTATCATAGCCTATTGTTTATTTATATTTTGCTAGTACGTAAAAATTTAGTTGTAAATTACTGGTTTTCACCAAAACCATTCAGTGTATGCAATAAAAGGTTGCCTTTGTTGATTTGGAGCATTTAACTTACACCTGGCAGAAAGCCTTTGTCCTATGTTACTTGCTTCTTATGGACAATTTTAGTATATTTGAGTCTCCTTTAAATAACTACTTTTCTTTCCTCATATATTTTGTGAATGATTGAATTGTAAGTTGACGAAATGTCAAGCTTTATAGATGTTGTAGTCTATGTACCATACTCAATAAAAAAATTTGAAGCGAACTATATACCCGACTTGAATTACTACCTATACATGGTATACATATACAAGATACTGTATATGAAGGAATTAGGAGATATTTTGACTCACCCATCACTGGAATGGACAGACTGAGAGCTTGAGAGAGTCTGAGATATGTGCGACCCAATTCGTAAACATCAATTTGGAGCACATCACTGAAGTCGATTAGTAAATCTGAAATGCAGTTAAGGAACGCCAGGTGACAGAAAAGTGTGAGTCACACACTCAATGGATGATTTCAAAGGATACGGGTTGTTCCTTCAACGCGACATGTGATGTATAGGCAGGCGGCAATAACATGTGTGCTCCGCCGACCTCGAGTTAATTGCCGTGACAATGCCATTTTGAAAAAATTGAAGGCTTCATCAATACACAATTGGCTCAAACTGGGGAGGAATTACAAAGCAATTAAAACCACAGAGCCCATACATAATCTTCATAATTAAATATAGGGTTTCACTACATACCCAGTTAGCTGATGAGCTAAATTAGTGATGGCTTTCTTGGCATTTTGTAGAGTTATTTCACGGGACTCTTTGCCAAGACCAGTATGGAATGCTGCAAAAAGATGCGAAAAATTTATTCAACAAATTGGTTAGTATAAACAATTAGATAAAACATTCACTTAAAAAAGAGCGTATCCAAAACATGAAGGAGCTTACTTTGGCCAAAACCTCTAGCACCACCTTTGGAATCAGATGACACAAACTGTCCCAATGCCGAGGAACCACCATGAGCATTTTCCTCAAACTGAACTTCAGAAACAATAGCACTATGCTCCAGAACAGTACCACAATTAGTACACACAACATCTCCTCTTGCTGGATCTGTATCCAACTCCAGAGATCCACAATTTGTACATTTGTTACTGGAGGACATGTTTAATACAGCTGCTGTGAAACAAGACAGAGAACAAACAGAAAATTAGCTTCCTATCAGGTAAATGGCAGTGAAATCGTTGTAATGTAAATTTCACCCTGTGACAACAATCAAGAAGATTGAGATTAGCAACCCCTGGACACCTCAATAAAAATAAAAACCAAATAATGCAGTCAGAAGAAGCAATAAGTACGATAAACTAACAGAAATTAGAAGAGTAGTGTAAGGAAAGCGGCAAAGCGGATTTGTTTCAGAACTGGCCCAAACAATAATTATGAATAATAAATTTAAATGGATTTTGTTTATTTCAAGATGATCAACTTCCAAGAAAAGAGGCCTTTGGGAAGTTTGTTTATCCATGAGTTGATTTATTGTCATGAAAATAGACATGCTGATAATACAGTGATGGGGTTACTTTCTCAAATAAATAGGTTATATGTCAGAACTTTCGATAAAGGCATCAGAAAACTTACTGGTATCTCTTAGCAGGAACTAATTCTTGTGACAGATAACCAGCCTATGTCAGAACACAAAATTTCAAGGAATTCTGTAGGCGAAATTATGTTGCTTACTTTTTAAGAGAGGGACATCCTGCGTATAATGACCAGAACGGTTATTAGTAGAAAGACAGAAACATATCACCAAATAATGCGCTCTGGTACATGAATATGAACTTTTCAAAACAAGTTTACTCTCTAACGCAACAATAATTTTTCTTGTGTTTTAATTGCCTTTGAAAATGGCCATTCATTTTGTGTGACTCGTTCCATTCATTTTGTGCTTAGGTTGGTACTCTTTTTGGCGCCAGTCCAATTTTGAATTTTGCCAGCAGCCGGCAGCCGGCAGACGACAAGCAACGCAGTGAAGCAACAGCGAGCCTGATTTATTCTCTAATTTTACACTCATTTTTGCATGTTAGACGGTGCATAACTCAGTATCACAATGGGAGTTAAAGACCTTTGGCAGGTTCTCGCACCTGTATGTGAACGCAAGTCGCTGTGGGAACTCCAAGACAAGTCTGTGGCTGTCGACTTAAGTGCTTGGGTGTGTGACAGCCAAAATATTGTGGAGCACAGTTCACAACCAAACATGCACCTCAGGTCTAGTTTTATTTCTTGTAAACTCTTCCTGTTAGTTGTCATATGTATAACTTTCATAGTCGTCAATTTGTTTTGTTTGTTTCCTTTTCAGGAACTTGTTTTTTCGAACGTCATGCTTGCTGCTACTTGGCGCAAAGCCTGTGTTTGTTTTAGAAGGAGATGCTCCTGATTTGAAACTGAATGTCATGTCTCAACGCAATGCAGCACGAGGTTTAAAGAAGTCCACTAAAACTTCTGGCAAACGTTCCAGATATAAAGGCATTCAGAAAAAAGTTAGGCTGGGAATTTCATCTTGTTGGTATTTTTTAAATATTCTTATGAATTTTGAAATTAATCTTAAATATTTTTTATTCTTATGCAGTGCCAAGAAATGCTTAAGTGTATGGGTGTGCACTGTGTTCAAAGTGCGGGAGAAGCAGAGGCTTTGTGTGCCATTTTAAATGAAAGAGGGGTGAGATAGTTTTATGTGTCACTTCTTGAATCCTTTTCGTTACTTAGAAAATACTTACTCGACTGTACATTTATAGGTGGTAGACGGTTGCATAAGCCAAGATAGTGACTGTTTTCTATATGGAGGACAAGTTGTTTTTCGTAATTTCACAATCAGTGCCACTTCTGGTGGAGGTGGTGGACCTGGCTTCAGTATTGATATGTATAGAATGCAACAAGTGACAGAGCTCTTGGGCCTTAGCCGTACAAAGCTCATTGGGTTATCACTCCTATGTGGATGCGACTACAATCAAGGTGTTTCCGGTGTGGGGAAAGAAACAGCAGTTAAGTTTCTAGCCACTTTATCAGATGCTGAAGTCTTTTCAAGGTAAGAAATCTGTACATTCTGTCAACCTGGCTTTTATGTATATGTTGTCTCCAATCTGCTGTAAATTTGTGTTGCTCTTTCAGATTTTCAAGGTGGAGGACTGATCCTATCTATGTACGCAGAGAAAAAGAACGATCTATGGGAGTATGTGACAGATGCTGTCACATTGGCAAGAAAAAGGTTCATGACAAGAGTGGGTGCGAGCTTTGTGGCACAGTCAGAAGTTGTCACATCAGTAGTGATCCTGATTGTCTCATCAATCTAGATCCGTGAGTGGGGAAGGTTTCTTTTATAGTGTGCTCAATACAATGGTCTCTATTTAATTAGTGTTTGCCCCCTCTAGTGATGATCAAAAAGTGATTATAAACGAATTGAATATTCGAAAAAAGGCACTTCAAGATGAAAGCTTTCCCTGTCAAGATGTTATAGACGAATTTTGTAGTGTTGAAGCAATGCCTTTACCAGAAAAAGTGTCATTGGAATGGTCCCAACCAAATCTGATTCAGTTCATGGTTAGTTGGTTTCATTTCATGTTTTAATATTATTTTTTGTATAAACCACCTCTAATTATATTTTTCTCCCTTTTTAGAAACTGGCCGAGAAGCACTTGAGGTGGGATGAGTGCTATTCTCTGGAAAAGTTTCTGCCTTTAGTTACTCGGTGGTTGATATTGAATAAAAGGAGTTCTGCAAAATGTCCCATCTATCCAGAGGCTATTTTGAAAACACGAGTATTAAAAGGAGTTGCAAGTTATGAAGTGAAGTGGACAGATCAGGAAGGTCTGTTTGAGACTTTAGTGAGTGAAGAGTGTTCAGATATTTGTTTAACAATTGAGCCAAGGGAACTCTTTGGTAATGCATTTCCAGCATTAGTTACTGAATTTAATGCAAAGGAAGATGCTAAAAAATTGTCCAAGCAGAAAGGTTGGTAAAAATTATCTTCAATAATAGTAGGTTGTCATTTGTTTTACCTCCCATGCCTAATGCTCTGATTTAAACTTCAATCATATGTACAGGTAAATCTAAGCCTCGAAAAGCTGCAAAAGTGTCACAAGCTCTACCAAAATGTCCAAAATGTGGGAAAGATTTGCCATCTAAAACCCAGAAATGCATGTGTCATTTTGTGAAAGTGGCTCCAGCAGAGAAAGAAAAGACATCTCCAAAATCTCTGGAGGAACTTCTTGATACTTTGACACTTAATTCAGCTTCTTCCAAGAGAGAGATGAAAGAGCCAGCTAAAACTGCTATAAAATCAAAAGTTGCGGGTAACAGTGAAAAATTAAAGAAATTACTCTCCCAAGTATCAGATGAGACTGATACTGGTGCGAGTCCCACCTTGGACTGTGAATCTGAACAACTCAACAAGACATACGAGTCTCCAAAGTTCTCCTTTGAAGACCTTCTAGGTGATGAGAAGTGGACTGTTGATGATTTTGTGGTAGAGGAAGAGGGAGACCTATCAGACATTGTTCAGTCCATCACAGGCAGAGGGAGGAGTACTGATGAAATGAAGGCAAAAATGAGCAAGTCCCCTGTGCCCACACATGATATGGAACTTGAAAACTCCAAGGAAGAGATGTGTATGGAGCACACGACTGCAATGCCAGTTTTGGCATCTGGAGATGTGGATGTGGATTCTTCAGAAGAAGAGGCACCCTACACCCCCTTAATTGATAGAATACGGAAGCTTCAAGAAAATAAAGTTCCGACAAAGAGACACAGCATTGTTGCAGCTATGAAATTGCGTCGTTTTTCAGAGTCATTTGAAGCATTCTGCATGGGTGACAATGCCACTTCATCTCCACGAGTCAGTAATGATGCTGAATCAAGTAGTGGTGATATGAGTGGTCCATCACCAAACACATTCAGTTTAGGTATAACCAACTTGTTGGAAACCTCTGAGCAGCAGTAAGATTGTACCACACCACTATACTCAATAAAGCTGAATTTCTGTGAACAGTTGGTGTTTCCTTTGAGTGAACCAGCTCTGTTAATTTCAAAACCCTTCAATAAAATACTCAAAAAAATTCATACAGGACAGTTTAATGCTATATAAATTAAAATACATTGATGCAAGCAGTGAGACAAAGTACATTGCCATGGAATTACGAGAACATAAAATAGACTATTTACAACAGGTTATAAGATTTTTCCCATAACAAAATAAATGTGTAGAAGGAGCATTGAGACACTGCCAGATATCAAGTCCACAGCTTTTAGTCCCAATGCTCATAGACATTATTGTACAAAGTTCATAGAAAACATAATTGCCAGTCAAGAAAAATATTTAAAAAATTAAACAACGGAAAATTTATCATAGGTCAATACGTATATTACAGCTGCACATCATCGTTTAAGCTTCACAGCTTTTTAACTTAACTGCTTAAAACACAATCATTCAATGTATTAGGCTAAAATAACCTATTATTATTAATAGCTTTAAATTACCATACAACATGCATTCTTCATCACAAATTAAATTAACTTAACCACAAGGATTATTTCTTCCTCTTCTTGGTTTTAGTGTCTGGTGTAGTTGAGGCAGAGCTGGGGCCAAGGGAGTCGCCCTTGCGTTTCTGACTTTGTTTGGTGGTGTTTGGTGTCCCACTGTTGGCACTAGGTGTTCCTGGAGCAGGGGTTGAACTGGACTGGCTGGTGCTGTTTTGGGCAGGAGTACTGGTTCCAGCAACATTACTACTTCTGGGTCCACGCTTCTTTTTCTCCTGTCTTTCTTTTTCTTCCAGCTCTTGATTTTCGCGTTCAATGAGAGTGATGAGGGTGTTGCACCTTCTCTGCAGTTCCATGGCAGTACGGGATTTAATGAACCAATCAAAACGGAACTGTGGAGCAGATCTGAAAACAAAGAAAATTGTAATAAATTCAGACCAGTAATTATAGGTTCTATTCGTCTTTTTCCATCATTTTTAAATATTGTCCTACCTGACAGCAGCCCGAAGTTCTTCATATACATTTTCTTTGTCAAATCCCAGTTTATGTAGCATGCAAACCAGGAAACGATCTTCTTCTTCGGTATAGTTCTTTCCTTTATTTGTCCCATAAGAAATGCGCAATTGATGGAAGGGAGCTCGATACCGTGCCATCTAAAACAAAAAAAGGTCACAGGTTATAGGAGAAATTACTGCATGTTTGAAGATATTAATGTGTACACCAAATCTTACCTTCGCATCAAGAGCCTTCTTAATTCCAGCACGGCGCTGAATTTTAGCCTCTCCTCTTTCTATTTGTCCCATAATTCTGTCAATGTCTTGAAGTTCATGACACCGCTCCCAAAATACTGTGCTGTATTCCATAACTTCTTCTGGAGTTTTTCCTTCCACATCCCTTGCAATATTTTCAATATCATCTCTACCATATTTTTCATTAGCCTTGATGAATTGATTAAAGTCACGTTTTGTCCAGTTTGTGAATCCTTGGGTCAACAAGCTTTCTTTTTCAGTAATCTGGAAGAGGAATTGAATTATTGTACAGCCAGGAAAAACAGCAGAAACTTCTATTGGGTTTAAAAGACATTTAACTCACCTCTTCTTCACTGAGCAGCTCAGCCTCATCAATTTTTCTCTGCTCCTCTTTCTGCACACGAGCAGCTTCAGGGCCAAGTTCTGGATTTTTGGGAACCTTATAACCAAGTGATTTGCGGAAATGATAGATTTCCTGGTCTAATAGTTCAAACAATCTGGGAGGGAAGAACTGGAAGTCCTGCACAATGGGCTGCTTTGGAGGGCGAGGTGCTTTGGGTGCCTTTGGCTCTGATACCCTCAGGGCCTCTCTGAAGTATGCATCAACAGCATAGTTAGCTTTCCTTTCTCGCTTAGGAGGTTCAATCCAGTTCCCAATGCCAAGAACCTTTTGCTTTTCTCTGTAGTCTTCACCCTCAAACTTATAAACAGAGTCTGTTGGAGTATCCACTGTGAAGTTTCGTAGAGAAGATTCACCCATCTCTGAAAGTCGCTTGTTGAGTTCTTGGGTCTTGACTTCTCCCTTTTCAAGAATGACATCAATGTCTTCATCAGTTATGGCAGATTCTTTTGAGGCAAATACTTCATTGGCACCATGTCTGATCATGTTCAACATTTCATCCTTGTTGAGTGCACTAGCTTTGTTGTCAACAAGACGACCTTGCTGAATCACAAGTTTGTCAAGTCGCAGCTTCACCTCAGCACGTTCAACAATTTTTTCTTCAACAGTGTTTTCAGTTATCATGCGGAACACTCTGACTTGTTTCTTTTGACCAATACGATGGGCACGATCCATGGCCTGTAGATCCATCTGTGGGTTCCAGTCAGAGTCATAAATGATTACCACATCAGCTGTAGCAAGGTTAATACCGAGACCACCAGCTCTTGTTGACAACATGAAGACAAATTTCTTGCTGTTTGGCTCATTGTACTCATTAATTTGGCGCTGACGATCTTCATGAGGAGTGTTACCATCCAAACGGCAATAGTTGTACTGCCGCCAGTGACAATAATCTTCAAGGATGTCCAACATACGGGTCATTTGGGAGAAGATGAGAACACGAGATCCTTGTTCTTGCAATTTGGGGAGCAATTTGTCCAAAATAACCATTTTTCCACAGTTGTACACGAGGTGCTCATCAGTTGTGTAAGGTGGACCCGGTTCAGCACCATCAAACAGGTAAGGATGGTTGGAGCATTTACGCAGCTGCATCAAAATGTTTTGGAGGCGCATCTTCTCAATTTTACCAGCTCCATTTACTACATCAATATCCTTCATCAAAACCTTGGTGTACCAATCTCTTTGCATTTTGCTCAAACCAACATATATTTTGACTTCCTTTTTGGGCTTAAGCCTTTTCTCGACTTCAGACTTCAAACGACGGAGCAGGAAAGGGCGCAGAACCGCATGCAAACGCTCAACAAGCGAATTGTCACCAAGGAAGCTGTTGGTGTCAAACCATGAATCAAAGTCATCTGATGAGTTGAAGACATCAGGAAGAAGGAAGTTCAGAAGTGACCAAAGTTCATGGAGATTGTTCTGAAGGGGTGTTCCAGTAAGCAGAAGCCGATTGGTGGTTTTGAATTCACGGACAATTTCTGACAGTTTTGACTTTTCATTCTTGATCCTGTGAGCCTCGTCAATCACCATGTAACGCCAGTTGAATTTCTTGAAGACACCCTTTTCCCTGATAACCATTTCATAAGAAGTAATGCAGACATCCCACTCTCCAGGCATAAGGGTTTCTCTGATGAAAGTGTTCTATAAAGAAACCAAAGCATTAGATCATGAAATTGTTCATCCATTTCATACTATTTTCAAGGTGTGGAGGCAAAACTTACTCTTGCTTCTTGGTCACCGATCAGACAAACAGCTCTCAGGGTTGGGCACCACTTGTTGAATTCGTTCATCCAGTTCTGAAGAGTTGATTTGGGAACAATCACCAAGTGAGGTCCATTGATGTTCCGATAGTGCTTCATGTACCTAGTAATAAAAACACACTTGTTGAACAGGGAAACACAAAATTCAAACAGGAGAAAAGAAAGAACTTTTTAAAGCTCACCCTAGAAGAGAAATTGTCTGCAATGTTTTACCAAGACCCATTTCATCGGCAAGGATACCATTGATTCCATTTTCATACAAAGATATCATCCAATTGAGACCACGAACTTGATAGTCACGCAGTTCACCACTTTTAATATAAAAAGGAGACGCATCAAACCGAGTGATAGCTTTTGCACTAGTATTTGTTTCAGCTAAAAGCTCCTCATCTTCCTCTTGCTCTGTTTTGCGGTGACGATGGCTGAAAGAAACAGAACAACTATGACAACCTATTCCTCAAAACTAGCGAGTAAAGAAGAAGCTCCACCATTTGAAACGTACTCTGCTGCCTCTTCATCCTTAGGTTTATCTACAACCTTCCTTGGTCGCCCTGGTTTCAACTTCAAGGGACTGCTAGTTGACTTTTCTTTAGCATTATTAGACATGAAATGGGAAAAAATCTCAGTCTGTTTGAGAAGAAAATCAAAGCGCTTGCTCCGGTCACCTTCCTGAAATTGGAAAATGAGAAAATCATAGCAGGTCAATAAAAAAGGTCCATTGGCATCAAAGTCTTTTTACAAAAGTTTTCAATTGACATTGAGTGAACAAATACTCTCAAATGGATCTTGTGACAAGACTTACCAATTTGTTATCAAAGTCTTCTCCTTTTGGCTTAGCAGGAGGTGGCCCATCTGCTGAGGAGGCATTCTGTAAAAATAAACCAAGGGTCAGGATACAAACAACAATCTGACAAGTCGTGAGGAACGCATCATAATTTTAGAGGTTAGGAACTCTACATTACTTTACAAAGAAACAGAGAAGAAGGAATAAGCAAAGGATATAACGAAGTGAAAAGATACAAAACAATGTGCATTGCATTAGACATCGTAAATATTAAAGTCAGAACGACTAGCAAAATAAGGAGGAAGTCAAGGTATACACAAAAGCGAACTAGAGGACAACAGTTATTACAAAATTAAGGTCTATGAAAGACATGAATCTTACTGAATTTTCTCCAGTGTCCATCGCTTCGTCCGTTTTTGACATTTTGGAACGGTTTAGAACCTCGCCCTGCGCTCTACTGGGAAAATGCTTTGAGTCACCGGTGCACAAAACCGTCTGAAATCAAACAACGACGAAAATGGCGTTTGGCGGGCAGCCGGTGGCGGCGGCGGCGGCGGCGCGGCGGCTACGAGAACTAGGAGCTGCGTTCGAATTTCTCGCCGTTTCGAGCGCATCCGAGAAATTCAAATGCTGCTGTAAGTTTAATTTTTTTTTTTAGAAAGTAAAAGTGCAACCAATGCCATTGTTGGCGTTTTCTGAGATCAGATATAATTATTTCTTTAGAAGAACTCACATTGGGCACATTTTGTGTACAGTCACAGAAAATGCTGGATGGAACCTTGGCTAGAGTCCTACACTGCTTTTTTTTTGGGGGGGGGGGGGGGGGGGGGGCGCCTCATGGGCCCGGCCGGGTTTGTGGGCTCGTGCTCGTGGTCGGGTCTATCCGTGAGAAAAGAAGTTATTCTTTGATCCGAAAACAAGGAGCACCAGAGAGCCGTCGCAGGAAGGACCAACCCCAAGTCTACCGTACCCCACCTCCTACCTCAACCCTAAAGCCCCTTGCCAGCAAAACATAAAAACACTTGCCATCAAGTGCAAATTAAATTGTTTCCAGGTGACAGAAAATGCATTGATCTGGTCTGGGAAATTCATCCCACACTCAGCAGAGATGCAGCCGTCATGACTGTAGGACTTCCCCAAGTGCTCCCCCTCCCCCTCCTCCTCTTCCCTGGGGGGTTCCAGACCTAGGAAGCTCTAAGGGACACAAACGTGATATAATTTTACAATAGTGTATCTTTATTCCCGGAACTTGTCATGTTAACAAGGGTTGAATTTGTTGATCGGAAATGGGTCCTAGCCGTAAATGGATTTGTGTCTGAGAGGGTAAGACGGTATTCACAAGGCTGTCACTTCCCTCTTTCCTTTGTGGAATGAAACCTTCCACCTCTACTAATGTCTGGTGTCAAACGCCATTGACTTTCGTTTTACTAGTTGTCACAAGATCAGCAAGTAGATCCTTGCGAACCCTTTGCCTAGAGCTCCCTCTTGTCTTCAGCTGGATGGCCTGCCAGCCGTGGGGCCTGGGCCGCCTGGGCTCAGTGACTTGGAGAAAATCGCTGAAGCCGTCGTTCTGCCCTCACGTCAATTGGCTGGTCAACAGCTGATTACGGTTTTGCCACGCCAATCCTCCCGGAGATTAGTCGCTCCAAGGGAACTGACAACTCGTCGTGTCGTCTCCACGATAACAACCGAGTTCATGTTGGCACCCCACCCCGTCCGCAAATCTGTCTTCTTCTTCTATAGTCCCCACCCTGAAATGCTGTAGAACTGTCACCGAAAATTTCAGCCCCCTTCCCGCGGGGAAGTTTTGGGAAGATGGATACTGAAGGCAAGTATATCGCTGGGCCTAAAATGATCTCAGCTGAATCGTGACCCCAAAGTACGCACCGGTCATACTTTTTTTTTCTCCCTAATTTGTCGTTTTTTGCCTGGTTTTATTGTTTTTGTTATTTATATCAATCTTAAAAGATTAGTTATTCACTGGGAATTGGAAGGGGCTGACCATTTTTCCTTTGACAAGTCATACACCTATCTGTTTACAATGTGACATAGAGGAACATAACCCTACTTACTTGAGCAACAATGGCCCTTTTCTTGTTAATGTCATGGTTAAAATTATTGTTATCAGCAAAATGAAGTGTTTCTTTGTTTTTCAAAGGATAAGAATTGAAATTAAGGCTGTTTCTCCTCACACGGCCTTGTATTCCACCTCCCTGCTCTCCTTTGTGCCTTTTATGGCAGAAATTTGAGAGAGTGGTGTTGAAAACACTCATGTAACATTGCTCATACTTCTTCAAAATTTATGGTTGTTTTGATAATTTGACGAGTTTTCGTCAGCTATTTCATAATAATATCATTGTGGAAATTGATACTTTTTTTTCTTTAGTACCCGTCATGATATTTTACCTAATAGTTTTATTTTATTTTGTGGTTTTAGCTGACAAAAAAGACACGGATATGCTGTCGCAAAAAGAACTAGAAGACTTGGAAGCCATCCATCGACGATTCCAAGAGCTTATGAGTGACCCTGAAAACATAAATGAAGCTGCAAATTTTTTAGTGGAAGATTTAATTGATGAAATGACTATAGGAGTGGTTTTTGAAGTTCACCGGTCAGCAAAATTAGGGGTGCTGGACCCTGAGGCAGATATGTCTGGAGATGATATTAGCAAGTGAGTGTTTTATGTCAGTTTGCATAAAATAAGAAAATATTGTGACCTGCTGACCTATTGTGCTTCTTTTATGTCAGGTTTAAAATTGTAGATGATCCAGGCTTAGATGTATTTGGCCAGCCTCCAGTTATTAAGAAATTCCAAGACTGCATTTGTCCAAGCTGCAACAGAGGTCTGGCTGCATCAAGATTTGCTCCTCATCTTGAGAAATGTATGGGAATGGGCCGTAATAGCAGTCGAATTGCTAGTCGGCGAATAGCAAATAATAGCAAGGAAACAAGGTATTTTATCTTTTTTTAACAAAAGCAATAACTTGTTATTTACTTTTTTCTTCGATGGACCCATGAAAACCTGATGCAGCTGCCAAAACCTCCTTGAGTCACTTCATAGTATGTTTACAAATCCCATTGTCATTGTTCTCTCTTCTTTTCTAGCACTATTGTTAGTGAAGATGAAGACGACGAGTGGACCATTGGTGGTGACAGACGGAGAAAGAAGAAGGATCGGAGTAATGGCACTTCCAAAAAAACGTCCAAAAGTGTGAAATCTGAAAAAAGGAATGGTGATTCCAATAATAGCTTTAGCTCTGTGTCTGAGAGTCTAGGTAGCTCATCTGGCAACAGTTCATCATTTGATGCTACCAGTGCTGCTCTAGAAACAATGCGTCCTGAAGAGCGGAAAAATTTGTTGTCACACATATGTGGTGTAGTGTCAGAACATACACGAAAATTATGCACAAGGTCTCTTCGATGCCCTCAGCACTCTGATGAACAGAGAAGAGCACTTAGGGCATCTGTTCTTGAGGATGAGTCCAGTTTTCAATCTGAGATACAGGTGAGTACAGTTCTGAACCCACCTCCATATTGATATTTTGATGTGTGTTCCTTAAGTGTATTGTGCTTTCTTTTTCTATGTACAGGTAAATGTGGAATCTCTAGGCTTGGACCCTGATGATCTTTTGGGTGGTTTGGGAGGAGGTGTAGGATCATTAAGTGGTCTTGGTATGAGTTCCTTAAGTCGAGGAAGCTGGGAAACAGAGCGGTCTAATGCCTCGTCCCCTGCCGACTCTGTTTCTGTGAGCTCCTCCACATCAAGCAAAAAGCGTGAGAAATCAAGTCCTGGAAAGAGTGGCAGTCATAAAAAGAAAAGTAAACATTCATCATCTCATGAGTTGTGAAATTTATGTTTGTAGAATCCAATTTCTTTTGAGTTGTGAAGCATCACTGATTATCTTATTGTTGGTGTATGGTTGAAATCCACACTTCCATATATCTGCTCTCTTGATATTCATCAAGCAGTGTTTGCATTGTATTTGCTGTGATCAGGTGGGAAATCCTGATAATGGAATGCCCATTTTGCTAGGATGATAAGATTAGATTCTGATAAATAATGGTTGGTTCAGAAAAAGAAAGCTGAAAAAATGAATATAAAATTTATAGAAATTTGGCTAAAAGTCATCATTGTAGTGAAGTGCATATTTAGTGAGTGCAGCTTTTTCTTCTGACTTATTTTATTTTGAACAAACAGTTTTGTTGTGTTGTCCATTGTTTTTTTAACAATATTGAGATTTTTTTTCTAAATGAAACAATCTTTTGGGGAGGGTGCGGGTAGAGTCTTTTGGTTGGTTTGTATTGAATGCAATGTGAGTTTGTTGAAATTGGTAACAATACTGGATATTGTAAACTTTTCAATTTTAAAAAAAACTCTGTTGAGGTGGTAGTTCAGGGACAAGCCTGCGGTCTTCCAGTTAAACTGCACGAGCTTGGTTTCTAGTTAGTGTGATTTTACTGTCAATAGCCAAACTATTCAAGTTCACATAATTTGAATTTTCCTCTATTGTAATTGACCCCTAAAACGCGTTTCTTTACATGCTACCATGATGCTGTAATTATTTCATGTGCGTTGGATGAAAATCCAAACTTACTTTATCTGGGAATTTTTTTGGTGGGAACCTTAATAATGTAAAATCCCTAAAATCCTAATACTGCTTTCCTTTTAGATGTAACTTGTGACTTTTCCCTTCCATTCAACTTGAAAGAAATATTGAAAATTGTCTGTTATTTAAATGTAGTACCTAATCTTGTAGCAAAGAAGTAAGGAGAATGACGGTCATTGCAATCCTGAAAAGTGCTGTGTAGTCATGAGAGAATAGCATGGTTGATTTATTATGCTATACTCTCATGACATATGTAGTTTTCTTGCAACAGTAAGAAGTTGTAATCATGAGGGAGTGTTAGTTGTGTATACTGTACTCTTTCTCACCTTCAGTGATAACTGCTGTGTGAGGAAACCAAGAGGTCTTTTTTGATTTCTTGCGGATACATTTTATTTCTTACAGGGTCTTAATACTAATTTATGAAACACTAAGTAGTGTACCAATAATGGAACCTTTATCTCTGATGTTTGATGTAGGGGTAGAAAAGGCTGTACTATTGAACTGAAGTCTGCCAAGTATTATCTATGTCTCTCTGAGTTTGAAAAAAGAAAATTATATTAAAAAAAAAAAAAAATAGAACTTTAGTGGACACTACAGTTAGAAAATAAAATCATTTTCAATTATGTGACTGGACACTACAGTTAGAAAATTAAATCATTTTCAAATATGTGACAAACTCTCATATGAAGTTAATTGTCCACACTGTATGTTTGTTTCTAAGTCTTATTCTGTATGCAAGAACTTGCATTTTTTTACACAAAAAAAATGTAGAGAAGAAGTCTTTGATGTGATTGTATTATGTATAAAACTAAGTTGTACATATTGTCAAGTCTATACTAATTTATGTACCATGTATCATAAGGAATGAATTACATTTAAGATTGAAAGAAACCATTGTCATTTACTGAATCAGATTGATGACACAAACATCCAACAGAAGAGAAATGAAAGGAAAGAGTGATTTTTTTTGTAAGCACCTTTGAATGCCATGAGTGATCGATGATTTTTTTTAGTGACGAGAGAAACCTCGGAGGAACAAGCGTAGTGAGCTGCTTGAAGCTGACGGAAACAGATCTACTTCAATGACAACATTGCGCTACCGTCACACTGCGTCAAATCAATGGATAAAAGAAATGAAGGGTCCTAAACTGGATTATCGCAGACACTATGCAGCGGGATGTTCAGATAGACAACGGGACTCCTTATACCTAAGCCTCGAGGTGAGAAAAAGCATGGAAAAAGTCAGTCGTACAGTTGACGTGTTGGTACACCTGGCCATCACTGAAAGCCGTCAGGAAACTATTATTTTCGCCCAAAGTTCTTTGCCATGCAAGGGTAGTGTGCCAGAGTCGATTGTATGCACCGCTAGTAGCCTCCTGATGAACCAATCTTCACATCCATGCGATAACTGTAGCAAGGGGTAGAAGTGCTAGAAGTCCGAAACTGCAGCTGCTGGTGGCGCCTCCTAGCGGCCAAACCTCGCGCTGGCCACCGTGTAAAACCCTGGCCGAACATTATTTCTCGCCTCATAGCCAGCCAGAACTCCCCACCCTCTCTCCCGGCGTTTTGTCTTTTCTTCCGTTTCCCCTCACGCAGGGAGTCGTCATCATGGTGAGTTCGTGGTCGGGTGTATTTATGGCCGAATTTTAATTGAAATTCCGTTTTAAAGTTAATATAAGTCGAATGCGGCCCTAGTTGACGACCCACTTTATCCTAAATTCGTGTTTCGGTGTACGCGGTTGTTAGATTCTGAATTCAGGCGGGTGGATTGTTTTCTGGTTGTCGTGCGGCACCACATGGCAGTATTGTGTTTCGACATTTGTGCGCGTTACGTTTGGACACTCTGGTTAATTTCTTAATCACAACTTGAATGAGCCCTTTTTCGTCTACTTTTGCGCCCATTTGTAGTATCTACATTTTAATCAAGTCATTTTAGTCGTTCCATGCTAGATTGAGGTTAAGTCAGCCATTGTGTTGTCTTCGGGCGTCCACCCGCACTGGTTTCTGCGTTGTTTGGGCTTTGGTTATTTTTGAACCTTCTGTTACTCCAGTTACCCAGTAAAATTATTTTAGTGTTCACATCACATATTTGTGAATTGAAGCTCAAGCCCCTCTCTTGGTTTTCGGCTTGTCCCGTCTACCGCTAAGCGGGTAGTCATGTGTTTCCTCTTGTAAGCTTGTTCTCTCGTTTTTCAGCCACCCAAGAAGGACGCGAAGGGAGCTGCCTCCAAGCAGCCCGCCAAGACCCCCAAGAAGAAGGAGGGAGGAGGTGGCAAGGCCAAGAAGAAGGTACGTTGTCAGTCAAGTTGGGCCTCCATGCTGAGGTGTCGCTGATCTCTCATAATACATAAGTTTTGCTGGATGTTACGCTTGTGCTCAGGTCTATATTTATTGTCATGACTTTTCTGTCAATGATCTATGATGGCATTTTCTTCCATTTGCCTGGATGCTGATGACAGCGTCAACTGACGAAATGAAACTGATATCAATCATTCAGAATCAATTTCCTTTAGATGTTGTTTGTGCACAAGCCTTTCTTTGATGATACTGTGGCTGTCCCTCACTGATTGTTGATGACACTTTATACCACTACCCACTTCTGATGATAGGCTTGTGGTCTTTGATATTCATTGTGTTATGATATTTTTGTCATGATCACTGATGAAACTTTTGTTGCCTGGATGCTGATGACAGCAAAAATGATATAATGAGCCTGAGATCATATGTGTAATATGTAATTTATTGTAATAAGTTTCCAAGCCTTTCTTTGATGATACTCTTATTTGTCCCCTGACTGGTGATGACGCTTTATACCACTACTCACTTCTGATGATAGGCTTGCGATCTTTGATATGTTCGTTGTCTTAAGGCCTATACTTTACGTTATTAATTAGTTGACAATGATCCCTGATGAAACTTTATTGCCTGGATGCTGATGACAGCAAAAATGATATAATGAGCCTGAGATCATGTGTAATATGCTATTTATTGTATGTAGTTCCCAAGCCTTTTTTTGATGATACTCATTTTTGTCCCCTGAATGGTGATGACGCTTTATACCACTACTCACTTCTGATGATAGGCTTGTGGTCTTAGCAATATTTTTTGTTTTTACAATGATCCCTGATGAAAATTTTATTGCCTGGATGCTGATGACAGCAAAAATGATATAATGAGTCTGAGATCAACCATTAACGTCATTGTATTCATTCTGCAAGCCTTCCTTTGATGACACTCATGTTTGTCCCCTGACTGGTGATGACGCTTTATACCACTACTCACTTCTGATAAGCTTGCAATGTTTGCTGTACTTGTTGGCTATAGGCCAATTGACAATGATGTTCAAATATTTTTCTGCTTGGATGCTGATGACAGGAAAATCGACAATGAGCCTGGTTTACAACCTTGTTTCTTTCTATTTGCAGAAGTGGTCAAAGGGAAAAGTCCGTGACAAGCTTAACAACCAGGTCCTTTTCGACAAGGCCACTTATGATAAACTTCTCAAGGAAGTCCCCGCTTACAAGCTCATCACACCCTCTGTTGTGAGCGAAAGGTTAAAGATTCGAGGATCTCTTGCTAGGAAAGCCCTTGATGAACTTCTCCAAAAGGGTAAGTTTTGCATTAATTGAATGCTGTTTGGTTATCATTAGATTAGCACTCATTAAGTTTTTCTGTTTCTAGGTCTGATTAAACAAGTTGTTCAGCATCATGCCCAGCTGATCTACACCAGAGCTACAAAGGGAGACGATCCTGCGTAATTTTACTTTTCTTTATATACGTAATGATGTTATTTATTAATAAATAAATATTGTCATTGCCAATCGTCTTTCATTTTATACCTTCCCCTTGCCCAATTCACCGGTCAAACAATACTACCTTTAATACATCTAAACTTGCAATGCAACCCATTGACCCTTTCTAAGTTCTAACCAACTGTGAGAAACAAAACAATGAAACTGTGACTAGACTTGTGTGAGAAGCTCGACCCTTCAAAGCTAAGCGGGTCCCGGGGGTGAGCTGTGTGCCTTGACTGGCAACTTCACAAAGCGAAAAGTACAAAACAGGATCGCAATTAGTTGCCTCAGCTTGGGCATCTTCCGAACAACTCTCTCCCTACTCTGTTGAACCCCCTAAATAGCTCATCTCGGGAAAAGAGCTCTGGGAGCCCTGGATGGGCGTCTTTTTCGACATGTTACAAACGCATCCGCATCTGCTAGAGGGCGCTCGGCACGGGGCGTGGAGGGGGGCGAGGGTAGGCCAGGGGTAGGGGTGGAGGAAGGTGGAAGCCAAATAGTGTTGACCAAGCTTTCGCTTGGTATCAAGTTTTCCTTAAACCCTGTAAATCTACTCCGGGATTCTGAATATTAATTAGTTGGATCGAAAGCCAAGGCCTTCGGCCGCTTCGGTCGTCATGCCGAAAGCGGTGTCTCCATTCAAAAGCAGCTGTTGGCTTGCATAAAGCGCAAGCCAAGCCAACCTAGAAGCCGCTTCGGGAAATGCCTAACCAAAACATCAGAGACACAATGCTTCCCGAATCCGGTCTTCTCGGAAAATACTTCCACGAATTGTTTAGGATCTGGCCAGAGCAACAAAGGTGTGACAAACTACGCTTAAATTGTATTTGCCGTAGTTTAACTAGTTTTGTTTACTTAAAAGCAACTTGTTTATCTGACATTTGACAGATGAGCTGCCCAAAGCTTACATTTGTTTGTTTGTATTATTATTTGATTTGTAGTCTGCTGCATCCGTAGTTATACTTAGCAAACCTCATTTGGATTCTAGTTTATGTTTTAAGCCAACATAAAAAAAATGTTCCCTCCACATTTATTTGAATTGATCTGCGATCAAAGCATGCGTATTTGTTTGCACATTTTAAAACCCCTTTCCCCTCATGTCATTTCCAAGAGGTGGCTGACAGATTTGCCACAACACACACCAAGCCCCAACAATTTGGCATGGCAACATATGTCAGTAAACCACTGTTTAAGCCCTTAAAGAATCGAAAAGGGATTCATGGTTGTTGACACTGGGACACTCTTCCGTCGGCCCATTCATGTTTGTTTGAGGTTTCTATTCAATTAAACGTTCGAATGAAAACCTTTCTTCATTCATGGAGATACGGCCTTGATTCAATTTTTGCACACATACAACATCCATTGCACATATCTTCTCTTCTGCTTCTAGGAGGCGATCTGATTGGAAAAAAGGCAAAAAGGGAAAATTGACCAGAGCTAAAGACAAAAGGAAACCCTCGGTCAGTACTCATGGAGCTTAAAAATAAATGAGATCAGCCAAGCCTAGCAGTGCTGACATAAATTATCCGTAAACGATATCTGTAAATTTAATCTTCATCTCTCTTCTATCCATGTAGAACTTTGGGCCATATCCCAATTACTTTGCTGTGGAATATGTTGACATAGCTTCACTTGGAGGCCCACCTGAAGTAGAATTACCATGCAATGCATCATGGTTTGCAATATTTGCAAGTATTCGCCAAGCTGTACTGGACCGATGGATGAAGCGAGCAACACAAATTTACCTTGCCTCTTCTTCGAGTGCACCACCTCTAGAGGGTTGCAGTGATGTTGACAGTGACCTTGAAGAAGTTGGAGATCACTGCCAGGATGTTGTGCAGATCCGAGTGCCAAAGGTCTGTCATTTATGCTTGATAAAAAAATAACTTAAAACCAGCTCATTTCCTTCGTAACTGTGAAGATACTTTTCTGTAGTAATTTTCTGCTGTGCTGTATGATGATTTCTTGTTTAATTCTTTGTGGTCATCTAGGTGGTAGACATTGGATTGCGAAGTGTTTTTGAAATCATCAAAGAGAGCCGGTCATCACACCCTATTTTATGTACCAAAGCCCTGTTTGCAATATTAGACGTTTTGCAAGGTCAACAACCAGATGGCTTAAAGGGAGAACCATCTGACATCATAGGTAGGTACACACTTTATTAAAAAAATAATTTACTTGGTTTACTTGTTAGGTTTCATAGTTTATATATCTTGTTTCTAGATCCACTGTTTTGTCTTCTGCTGGACCTTGCCACCTCTCATGGTCCTGAGCCTGATGCTGCAAATGATGGAAGTCACCTGACTGCTGTTGCTTGTGCATGCCTCTTGAGTCTTGTTGTAGTGCGAGGTGACACGGGCAAACTGCTCAATGCTACGGGGGCACTGCTCATGTGTCCACGGGCACTGGCCACACAAAATATTCAGGTCCTGATTTATTCTTATTTTCATCCTACTCATTTATCAACTGAGGGAAGATCAAAATGTTTAACAAGCTTGTTTTTTTCAGATGCCACTGGTGATGACAGCATTGCAGCGAAGTGTTCATGGTGTGCTATTGGGTAAAGTGGCACGACCCGATTGGCTCACTCATGGAGTTCCTGAAGCTTCCCATATTGATGACTTTGTTGTGAAAATGAGTAAAGGTAACTTAAAAACTTAGTACAAGTTTTACACTTTTAGGGTATTTAGACCAAGCTAGTTAAATATTTGTTCTGCTGTTTCAGATCTTCTTGTCAGCCCTTTAGTTCCTAGATCAATGGCAAGTGATGGCGAATTTTTGTACCTGTATACTTCAAAAGGACTGCTGAAAATTGGCTCAGGGTATCGAAACACCATGAAAGGCCTTATTTATCAGCATGCTACCGATTTTTTCCCAGATGATAAAGGATGGCTGGGATATGCCAATGTTAGTATTTCTATGAAGAAGGGAAACATTGTATATGCAATGTCTCACTGGGTAAAAATTTAATGTGTTTTGTTTCCATTCTAGGGCAAGCTGTATTTTAAAAGAGCCAGTAAAAGGAGTCTTGAGCTGATGACTGTTGACCGAAATGGGTTGTATGTAATTGATAAAATTTTACTAAACCATCGTGACTTGGAAGCAAGTGTTTTCTTTTCAGATGGAGAGAGTCTGGGAATGATAACATCTGCCAAAGATGTAAGAATAAATTTGTATGTCCCTAAAAAAATTATTTATAGTTGTTGGTTTGGTGTGATTACCATGTTTTCTATTCACAGGATGGATTTGTCGTGAGAATGCTGAACCCTGCATCTTCACCTGTTGTATCAATAAGTGAGCTCCCTCTGAAACTAGCCAGAAAATGCCTGCATTTTCATGGAGCTGCTTCATATGATGACGACTCCAAAAATCATGCCTTGCAAAATGCATATGAAGAAGATGTGGTGGCCATTACTGCAGGAAAAGATTTTGGACTTATCAGGACTACTATGGGTAAGGTGCTGTATTGTGGGAAACCAGCAAGCCTAGGCATCAAACAGCCAGGCCCGAGGAGTGGGAAATGGATGGAATTGCCCATTACAAAGTCCCCAAAAATCGTGCACATTGCTGTCGGCCACGATGGGCTTCATGCTGTGCTGGTGGCTGAAGATGGAAGTGCATTTTTCACGGGCACTGCTCGGCGTGGGGAGGATGGTGATCAAAGTAATTATTGCTTAGTTTTATTTTATTTATCAGTAAGTCTACAAAAAAATAATTTGAAACAATATAATTGGAAATTTTAGGTAAAGCGCGCCGCCAACCAAAAGCTGTCAAGCCAAAAAAGATGACTAAAGTTGATGGACAACATATCATTTATGCTGCCTGTAACAATGGAACTACAGCTGTAATCACAAAAGAGGGTGAGCTCCTCATGTTTGGAAAGGACACCTCTCATTGTGACCCTATCACAGGTAAATAATCAAATAAATTTAATAAAACTTTCACTTAGCTCATTTGATATAACAAAATTTTGATTTCCATTGCTCTCATAGGTCATGTCTCAGAATTGAAGGATATCCCAATTGTTCAAATAGCTTTGGGCAAAGCACACGCTGTTGCTCTCAGTAGCAAAGGGCATGTTTATACTTTTGGCATAAACAACAAGGGGCAATGTGGACGGGATTTTTCCCATGGCAAAGAAGGTATTCTATCTTATCTGTATTTAAGACCTTTTCGTACATTTTTCTATTTTTAAATTTAATTTTTGAATTTTGTTTTTAGCACTTGCCCAGGCAGTGGTGGCCATGGAGACTACGGGCTCAGAGGATGGGGACGACGACGACCTGGATTGGGAGGACATCATGTGCTCTCCGGGGAAGCACAAGTGGCGCCAGGAAAACTGCATGGTGTGCACCGTGTGCCGGGAGTGCACTGGCTACAGCATCAGCTGCCTGAGCAGCATGAGGCCGGACCGGAACCCTGGCCAGTGAGTAACACAGTGACACCGAATATTGCCTTTTCGTGTTTTACAATACCACTTACACTATTTCCTGTCTTATCCCAGGGAGTGCGGATGTGGAGAGGGTGACTCTGGGTGCGAGGAGTGTGGCTGTTGCCGCATTTGCGCCAGAGAAAATATCGACAACTCGGAACTTGCCATCTTGGGGCCATCGGGCGCAGGGGACATTGCCGGCATGATGCGCCTCGACCTCATCTTCAGAGGTGCGTGCTACGTGCCGCAAGCGAAGGGCCTTCCCTGCGCTATTGCGAAAAATAATTCATCTTTCCTTATTCCCTGTAGGGTGTCACGGCAAGCGGCTTCAGGACCACCTTCACCAGCGCCTGGAAGAGCGCAAGCAGAGGCAGCAGCGCAAGGCGGCTGGCTCCAAGCACGCCGTGCACACCGTGCCCAAGCTCAAGACGGTGGCGGGCTCCGCCTCCGGGAGCGGCGGCAGCAGCGGCAGCAGCAGTAGCGGGGCGGGGGCGGCCCTCGGCAGTGCCTCCGTGGTGGCGGCGGCGGGGGCGGCGGGGCGGCGGGGGCGGCAGCGGGGCCGTCGGCGCCGGGCAGCAGCCGCGCCGCCATGCACGGGCCCCTGAAGGCGCCCTGCTCCCCGTTCCGCGCGTCGCCGCTGGCCGTGCACGGCATGCAGAACCAGGCGGGCTTGGGGTCCAACTTGGCGTCGAACATGGCGTCGAACATCGCAGCCAACTTGGCGGCGGCGCGGCCCAGCCTCGACGAACCGTCCACGTCCGCGGCGACGGACAACGAGCGCGACGCGTCCAGGGCCACCTCCCTGCCGCCCACGCGCCTCTTCCTGCCCATCGAGAGCCCCGTGGTGCAGATCTCGTGCGGCCTGCACCACTCGGCCGTGCTCACGCAGAGCGGGGACGTGTTCACCTTCGGCGACAACCTGTACGGCCAGCTGGGCGTGGGCGACCCCGTGGCCAGGAGCGTGCCCGGCATGGTGCGCCTGCCCTTCCACGCCGTGCACATCGCGTGCGGCAGCTACCACACCGTGGTGCTCACGGTGCGCGGCGAGGTCATCACGTTCGGCAACCACTCCAAGGGGCAGCTGGGCCGCCTGGCGCCCGTGCCGCTCAGGAAGGACGCCAAGGCGGAGGCCAAGGCCGAGGCCAAGGCCAGGGCGGACTGGGCGTGGTACGCCACCCCGGAGAAGATGCCCTTCATCGGGCCGCGCCACGGCCGCAGGGCCACGTGGGTCGGCGCGTCCGGCGACCAGACGTTCCTGCGTATCGACGAGAGCCTCATCAACTCGTCCAACCTGTCGCAGTCCACCGTGATGGCCAACAAGGGCAGCATCATCCTGGCCCCCACGGACATCCCGCCCGCGCACTCGGCCTTCAAGTCCCTGGTCATTAACCGGCGCGACGGCAACTGCAACAGCTTCGCCGGCCCGGAGCAGGTGGAGTTCGCCAACACCATTGCGTGCCTGGACCCGCTGTACAACGTGGTGTGGTGCTACCAGCCGCAGAACCACGCCATGGTGTGCTACAACGTGGTGTCGAGTGAGACCCGGGTCCGCGAGCCCCCCATCCTCAGCTCGGAACTAGCTCTCCCGGTGGTCGCCAACTGCTTCGTCACCAGGGCTCAAGCCGCCCTACATCTACTGTGCTGTCTGGACACTTTGACGAAAGCCCATGAGTTGAACCTGGGTGTTTGTGAAGACTCTATCGACAAGACCAGTCAGCAGGCCAAGGTTTACAGCAGGGAAGATTTTTCTGCGGTCAGCCGGTTTGAAAGCCATGGGGGTGGTTGGGGATACTCTGCTCACTCCATAGAAGCTATTCGCTTCATGGCTGATACGGATATCCTTTTGGGCGGCTTTGGTTTGTTTGGTGGCCGAGGGGAGTACACAGGAAAGATTAAGTTATTTGACATTGGCATTGAAGGAGGAGAGCAGGAAACAGATGGGGAGTTGTTGGCAGAAACAGAAGAAATTCCCTACGAGTGTGGGCCTCGCCAGAAGTACCCAATGCTGTTTGATGAGCCAGTCCCACTTCAGGCTAATCGCTGGTACGTGGCCTGGGCTCGCATCAGTGGGCCTTCAAGTGACTGTGGATCCAGTGGCCAGGGAATGGTGACTACAGAAGACCAGGTCATATTTTATTTCAAATCCTCCAAGAAGTCCAACAACGGCACTGATAATAATGCTGGGCAAATACCCCAAATCCTGTACCGAGTGGTCACTCCAGAAAATCACACTCCAAATCGCCAAGTTGATCTTGCAGAACCAGTTTACATTCTGAGTCGAGATTTTTCTCGGGCTGTCAGCAAAGAGTGCTTTGAATCTCTCTTGGCTCTGCTGAGTTGGAGCTGGAACACCCTTAAGGTGCATCTCATGGATGTTTCTGGACTAGCACCAGGGTCAACTGCCCAAGCAGCTGCCATGATTGATTTGCGACGTTTGGTTTATATAAGCCGAGGTAGTTTACGACTACTTTGCTCCTTCACCAATGAAATCTACCCAAACCAGGTATCAACGAAAAAACTTGTCCCAGAATCTGTGGTTCTAGCAGAATGCATCGGCGATGTTCGAGCCCTGCTACGCCAAATTTTATCTGATTCAATGCCTACTCTTGCTGTAATGAAGGGATCCAAATCCCGAATTCCTGCCTCTGTTCGGGCTCTACCATACTCCAGCATGATCACCAGCATTTTGGAAGAATGTCACCAAACCTTTGTCTCCTGCTTCCATGCGTTTTACCCAACTGCATTCCTGAAGTGGACTTGTTTGTGTGATCTCCTTGCTGCGTCTGACCGCCGTGTTCCTGATGAGACAAGCAGTGATAGGCTGCTTAGCGCAGTTTTGGCTGCATTGTGTAGCCCGACCATTCGCCTCCGCTCCACTTTCCCCATCCTCAGTTCGTTCTTGGATGCAGCTGACTCTTCCCTGAAACGTCAGCTGAGTCCCTCTGACAACACTGGCTTGCCCATGATGCCTTGTGTAGACAGCCACCACTATCCCATTCTAGTGGAACAAATGAGCTATCGTAGCCAGGTAAGTAATGCCAACTTTTGTCGAAAATAATAAAATTAAAAGGATTTATTCTGTAAGCTAATATTGTTTAATTCTCATTTTCAGTTGGAAAGCTGTGACCTGACCAGCACCTGGGCTTACAGAGATGTTTTGGAACGTTTACTTGATATGGTCAGCGTTCCTGTGCGTCAAGAGCTGTGCCAAGAAAGAGTTTCATACTCCCCTCAACTTGTCCTGAACTGCTGCAATTTGCTTGCCCGTGTAGTGGCAGAGCTAAGTTGTCAGTCGAGTGGTGGTGATGAGGATCTGGAGGGAACTTGTGGTCGAGTCCTGCATACTACACCCTCAAGATTTACTCGGACCAACCAAAGTCGTACTTGGAACACAGGAAATGGATCACCAGATGCTATATGCTTCTCAGTTGATAGATCTGGAGTTGTCATTGCAGGTGTTACTGTGTATGGTGGAATGGGAAACTATGAGTATGAGCTGGAACTTTTGGATGATGTAAGTTCAATGTTTACATTGTTAGCAACCATCAAAATATTCTTGAAAAAAATTGTTCCTTCTTCTAATTTTTAAAAACATTTAATAGCAAAACAACTCTGGGAATGACCCATCACACACACAGCGATGGAATAGTCTGGAGTTGACTCGAGGAACCTTTGGTCCTGATGATTGTATTGGAGACATTGCTGAGCTAAAATTTGATAAACCTGTAACAATCAAGGTAGTACTTTGTTTTCCCACTAATCACCATTATTTTATATTTTTCTAATTTATAGTTTTCTATTATAAAATGTGCTGGTTGGTTGAATTTTCAGGAAGGAGTGAAGTATGCAGTGCGGCTTAGAAATCATGGTGGTCGCACAAGCAATGGAGATGGTGGTCTCAGTTCAGTGAAAGGTCCCGATGGAGCAACTTTCACATTTTCTACTTGTTCCTTAAGTTTCAATGGTACCACTCAGACACGTGGGCAAATTCCTCAAATACTCTACTATAGGTTGGACTCTATACAGTAATAATATTTTAAAATGATAATTATTGCTACAGTTTTCTAATAAATTTATTTTTGCAGCAACCCACAAGATTCTGAAAACCAACAGTCCAGCAAGGCCTTACTTGAACTCCAAGCCCGCAAAGCCACATTGTCTATGGCATCAGCTATTGTGCAACGAGTTTCAGATTTGTTGTCACTTGCTCGAGAAAGAGCTGAGGACATGTTGGGGACTGATATTCTTAGTAATGCCCCCATAATAACAACTCTAATGCCACTTTGCATTGCTGATATAAGTTACCTTGCTTTGACAGACCCCAGGGTAAGAACTGTACCATGATTTTGATATGCCTCTTGTCCGACTTCATTGCTGACCAAATCTAATTCCTTGAATTTTGCCTGTCTCTTCCAGAGTGCTGTTCAAGTTTTGGGACTGGTTCAGGAATTGCTTCCACATATTGCGGCACTGAACCTGCTGCATAGTAGCTCTCTGCAGCACTCGGTAACAAGTCAAGATAGCGCTGGTGGGAGCACTGCGGCCATCAATGTTGGGCCAGCAGGGATGCCAGGCACCACCACGTCACAGCATTATGCTTGGGTTGAGAGTGAGCATCCGTATAAACCATCCACAGTTTCTAATTATCGGTAAGCGGAGGTCCCAGATTCAGCTTAGCTTTTATTTTTATTCAGTTTATATTTTATGTATGCCAAAACATGATTTTACTTTTTACAGTGTTCACTTTCCTGAGACTGTGAAGTGGATTGCCATTGAGTTTGACCCACAGTGCGGTACAGCACAAGCTGAAGATACACTCCAACTCTACATTCCTAATGTAGAGGCACTTATTCGTCTGCCAAAGCGAAAGGAGCAAGAACGTGTTAAGGATTTGGACTCAGACAGAAGCCGTGCTGCAGGCTCTTCTCATGGGGCAGGTCCTGCTGGCCCTGGGCCAGCCATGGAGTATCAAGTCTCGTCTCCAAATGCCGGACCCTATGAACCTGACCCAAACTTCCTTTTCTACCCTCACTGGCCAGTGTTTCATAGGTTCAGTGGAAGTCCGGGCAACTGGCCTCAGGCTGCAGTTGTTCTCCCAGGCAATGAAGTCATATTTTCCTTGGAGACAGCCTCTGACTATATCAAAGATGATAAGGCCTGCTTCTATGGCTTCCGTTGTCTTGTGGTTGGCTATGAGTGGCCCCCCTCCCTCAGCAATGGGTTGCGTCACCTGGAAGCTGAGCTAGCTTACATTGGAGGCATGTGTGCTGCATCACTCATGAAGAAGGATTTGCTTCTTCCAGCTCTACCAGGTAATCCATTTCTCATTTTCAAAAAAATAATGTATTTTTAAACAACTGTTTATTTGACTAAAATTATTTTTTTAAAATTCAGATGAAATGGATGAAGATCTTGATCTAGTCGAGGAACAAGCCCATCAAGTTTACAACGCTCATTCTACACTTCTTGGAAAAGGATTTGCTCTCGCTGGTGCACCGACAATCAACCAAGCTCTTGACGGCGTTCTTCCATTCAGGTAAGGCTTTAACTTCATTCTTTTTTCCTCTTATTACAACTCGCAGGCATTTACTAGGGACAGAGCTGTCGCTCAGCTGACTGACACAGTGTGCATGCTAAAATATTTCAGAATTTTTTTAAAAAAGTTATTGTGGGGTCATCAGGTAAAATAGAAAAACCATTTTATGGCGTGTCTTTATTGTTGTCAGTTCTTTATAAAATGTACAAACTTAACAGAATGTTTAGGGTCTACGGAATAATACGAATGTTTGGTACAATCGTTCACGGTAAACATGTTTCTTAATACTGATCTTGCTTTGAGACATCCAGACATTCTGTATGGCCTCAAATTTACTTTGGTCTGATACTGAAAAACAGAAAAAAAAAGATTTGAGTACAGTGAATGACTTGTGGCTTAAATATATTTGTCTCGCTGAATGGAAAGGAACTTAATTGAAGGAAAACAAATAATGCACAAAATATGTGTTTTGTGCCATTCTGTTGACTACTTAAAAGTTAACCCTGAAAGTCTTATTTTACTTGTTTTTCTTACATTAATATGGCCTTAAGGTTCGAGTGGTGGTACAATTATCCTTTCACTCTCAGAATTGTGAAAGATAGATGAAATGATTCTTGAAAAAAACCCCAACAGTACATCATTCAAGTGAGAACATTATTTTCTTTCAAGTATCTAAGAAGAATGGAATTAATTATTTGTATAAGGAATGTTGGTTACTTGGAATAATTTTATGAATCCTGGGTGTTGTCTTCGTTGTTTCCTGGGGTGTCAGCAGAATTTAATTGCAATGGATGGTGCTAGCTGAAGATGGAAATGCTGCCTACTCTGATTGCAAAATTCATAATGACTCAGGGTGATAGTCGTGAAATTGTGTTCATAGCCATAACACAATCTTTGGCTATGGATATGTGATATGCATCTAACTTTGTCTAGTCAAACTATCACAGCACACTAGAAGTGGGCACTTTTGATCTTATCCTAAAAATGTTTCTTACCCGAATTCTTACTTGATTAAGATCTTACATGTTCTTTGCATGTAACAGTCGCATCCCTCCTTGACTCAAATCACAAATGCTAAAATTTGGCACATTTGTGAATGCTGGGGAAGTTAGTCTCCTTTACACTCTCATATGGCACACTTTCATTGAATGTTTGATTTTTAAAATACCATCATTCATTTGGCCTCATCAAAATTTTTATCTTTCTAAATAGATCCTTTGAAGTAAAAAAATTTCCTGTATTATGTACACATTATTATCAAAAGCTTTAAGTTCAATTTATTATCTTACAAAGCTTAGATTAATCACACAGTATGCTCTTAAAGCCATCATACAAAAATTTTGACTAACTTTTCATTGAAACAAACAAAACAATCCAAATAAAAATGTCAATATATTGCGAGTTTCGCAAGTGTCCCAATGACTCACCACAATTTTAAAAAATAACTTCATTTCTTCCACTTTTTAAAAGCGTCTCAATAGCCAAGAATTGACTTTGCAAGATTTTGATAATAAGGCCTCGCTCGCGAGGGGAGGGGCAGTCGCGTCGTGGCCCGGCCCCGTCCTCGCCTTAACGACTATACTTTAAACTCTAACTTAATGCTTTGGAATGATGTGCTAGCTTTATTTGGGTCTCATCACAAAAGGTTTCGTCGCTCTGACGCCACTAGCTTGGTGGCTTGTAGGAACTGTAGTGGACGGGCCTAGGGCAGCCTGGGGGAAGGGAGGCCTATGGCTCCCTGCCGTAGCCGACGATTGTCCGGTACCGGTCGCCGCCGACCAGGCCTGCCCGCGGTCCTCTGCCCATCGTGCCGTTGCTCATCCCGTAGTCCATCGCGTAGTCCACGACGCCGTAGTCCACGACGCCGTAGTCCACGCCGTAGTCCACGCCGTAGTCGGACCCCCGCGTCAAGTCCGCCCCCGACCCTCTGGCGCCGCGGCCGCGCGACCCCAGCGTGCCGAGCCCCGCCAGCCCGAGCACCAGGCCGTTGGCCGGCGCTGGCGCTTCGTAGGCGGGGGCGTCGAAGATGGCGCTGGGGGTGTGCATGGTGCCGGGCATGGAGCCGGGGGCGGCGTGGGGTCATCCCCCTGGCTCCTGGAGGGGCTCTCGTTCTCGTTCCCGCAGCTCTCGGAGCGGCTCGGCGCGCTCCACGATGACGTGCAGCTCCGTCTCGCGGTACACGCGGCCGTCGGGGACGACGAGGGTGAAGGGGCCCTGGCCCTTGCCCTGGCCCTTGGCCTGCTTGCCCTGCTTGGCCTGCTTGAGCATGTGGCGCTCCTCCTCGGCGCTGGGCTGGATGACGCGCTTGAACTGCATGCCCGGCTTGTGGCGGCCGGACTTGCGGCGCAGCGCCTCCTCCACCTCCTTGTCGTCCGAGATGTCCATGATGACGGTGGGCGGCCCGATGCGCGCCATGCCGTTGGTGCCGTTACCGTTGGCCTGGCCGTTGGCGTCCCACCGCCGCTTGCGCCGTCGCCGCGCGCGCCGCCGACAGCAGATGACGACCAGGACGAGCAGGGCGATGACGGCCACGCCCAGCGCGGCCGCCACGATGATGAGCACGTCCAGGTTGAAGGAGAAGAAGCCGCAGCTGTGCTCCTTGAAGTCCTTGACGGTGACGTAGCCGCCGCCGGGCGCCCCCAGCCCCGAGCCCACGCCGAGGCGGTCGGGGCGCGGCCGGCAGAACAGCGTGTCGGGCGCCACGGCGGGCAGCAGCGGCGGCGCGGGGTAGCGCGGCTCGTTGAGCAGGTCGCGACCCCACGTGTCGAGCGCGGCGCAGTCGCACGGCATGTCCAGCATGACGCGCGCCACGCTCACGTCCAGCCCCGTCGTGTTGAACATGATGGCGCCGTACTCGAAGCCCGACAGGGTGTTGTTCTCGAAGCGCAGCACCTGCGGGGCAGACACGGAGTCAGTCGCTCTGTCTCTCTTGCACTCATGGCTCAGCCCGTCAGGGCCAGGGCCGTCTGGGTGCGAGAGAGACAGTCCCACCTGCACGCCGCTGTTCTGGGCCGTGAACCAGTCCACGGTGATGCCGCGGAGCGCGGCGGACTCGACACGGCCCAGCCTGTTGTTGGTGATGAGCACGGGGCCGTGCGACACGATGTTGAAGGCCTCGCCGCGGAGCACGCCCACCGAGTTGCGCGTGAGCGCCACCCGCCGCGGCCCGCGCACCTTGAAGGCCGCGCTGTGCACCGCGTCCATGTGCACGCCGTCCACCGTCAGCTCGCCGCGCACGTCCAGGTCCTGCAGCAGGCGAAGCAGGCCAAGGGTTAGTTCGCCAGGCTCAAACTTGGTGCACGAAGGATGGCGTTGCAGCGGTCGCGGACTGACTCCGAAAGTCGCGCAGAAGTACTCACTTGGAACGTCCTGCTGGGCACGGCGCCGCGCACCCGGCCGCCCTGCAGCAGCAGCTGGTCCAAGGTGAACTTCTTGAAGGCCTGCGACTCGAGCTGGTCCAGCTCGCAGTCCACGACGCTGAGGCGGCGCAGTGCGCGCAGGCTGGCGAACGCGAAGGCCCTGACGGCGCCCACGCGCAGCCCACGCAGGTTGACCTCGTCCAGGCGGCCCAGGAAGGCGAAGCTGGGCAGCTCGGGGACGGTGCAGTTGGTGACGTTGATGCGCAGCCCCGCGGCCGGGCTGGGGAAGACCTCGGGCGGCAGCACGGACGCCGTGGTCTCGTTCCAGCTGAAGCCGTACTGCTCGACGTGCAGCACGCCCACGCCGGCCACCACGACGCGCCGCAGCTCGGGCAGGTCCGCGAAGGCCGCCTGCGAGACGCGCACGCGCGCGCAGCCCTGCACCACCAGCTCGCGGACGTTGGGCGGCAGGTGGTTGGGGCCGCGCGACCGCAGCACGATTTCCTCCTGCAGGCAGAGAAGGCAATGACGTCATGTGGGGCCGGCCAAGGCGGAATCGAATCCCCCTTAGTCCGTGGTAAAAGGCGCGGGGCGCGTGGGGCCACTCCAGAGCGCTCCCCAGGGACCCCGTCGCGGACCCCGTCGCCCCCGGGCCGCTCCAACATTCCTCAGAGGGCCCCGCAGGGTGGAGTGGAGGGCCCCAGAGGGCCGCTCCCGGACGGCGTCCCGGGTCCGCCGCCAGAGATTGACGAAGTGAAGTGAGGGTGAAATTCGGCGCGTCATGGTGTACGTTGGGGCCGGCCGGCCAGCCGTTCCGAAGAGTCGTTTCGTCGCTCCGTCTCTCTCGCACCCCTACGGGGCCCTACGGGGCCGTACCATGAGTGCGACGGAGACAGTTGAGTCTGCCGGCCTGTTGGGCGGCCCTCGGCCACCCTCGGCCCTCTCGTCCCTCTCGGCCATCCCCCTTCCCAGCCTGATGACTCGGCCAGCCAGCCGCGCGTCCTGCGCGCTGTGCGCTGTGCGGTCGGGTTGGCCCGGCATATATAAAGATGGGGCGGGCAGTGCGCCCAAAACGTATTTGCCGTCAGATTCATATTCAGATTGACGTTGGCGGCCAATGATGGCGGAGCGGGGCGGACAAGGTTTGCCAGGCCGGGCCCAGGGCTGCCGGGGCTTGGGGCCCCACCCTGCCGGACGGCCGGGCCGTCCCGTCGTCCGACTGATTCATGGCGCGGGCTGGCAGGCCTCGGCCATGCCTCGGCCAGGCCGGCCGTAACGTTACGTCTCTCTGTTTGGGTCCCACCTTCGTTATCCCCGATCAGATACCGCGTCACGGCTTGGGGCCGCAGACCCAGCGGGACCCAGTGGGGCCTCCCTCCAGCCAGGCCGCGAAACCAGTGCCGGGTGGCGGGGCGCCCGGAGTCCGGGACCGAGTCCGGGACGGACACGGCCAGGGCGGGGACCGGGGCGACGGCCGGGCCGGGGCGCTTGGCTGCCGGTTGGACAAGGACTCCCTCCTGCTAACGGCGTGACAGCCGTCGGAAACTCGGCGAGTGGAAAAGTTTGCTACAGATCCTCTGTCTTCCTTGCGCCCCCTCTCGCGGCCTGCCCCGTCTCCGTCGCCCCTCGGCCTCGGCCGCCGTCCCGCATTTTCATTTTTACAGTGCGGGGGAGAGGAAACTGCAGCGAGGGGCGGCGGCGGCCGCAAGTGCTAACCATGCAACGCGCAAATAGAATGGTTTATCAACGAGCCGCGCCGACCCTGCCGGGTGATTCAAAACTCGCCGCGTCTCTCTCGCGCTCACGGGGCGCCCCGTAGGGGTGCGAGAGACAGAGCGACGAGGGCCGTGTCCACCTCTCTGGGGCATTGCGCTGTGCTGCCCCGCGCTGCCCCCTCACAGCGCTGAACGCGCTCCGCGCCTCCTCCATCTGCATATGAATGAAAGGGGAAAGAGGGCGGACCCAGCCCAGCCCGTCTGGGGCGCTGCCTGTCACGCCGAGCAGAACGCCATGGCAGCCAGCGGCGCGTCAGCCTGGCGTCAGCCTGGCGTCAGCCTGCGGACCGATTCCGAGAGTCGTCTTCGTCGCTCTGTCTCTCTCGCACTCATGGGACGTCCCATGTAGGTGCGAGAGAGACAGAGCGGCAAAAAACGACCCTCGGAGTCAGCCCACTGGCGGCAGCAGGCAGCAGCGCGGTTTCATTTACCGAGGGGAAAAGAAGGGCAAAACGGAAACAGCGAGCTGTGTGTATTGTGGCTGCGGGCAGCCACGGGGCAGCGGGCAGCGCAGCGGGATCACTCCGAACAATGTCGGCGTCTCTCTCGCTCCGCCAGGGGCCTGCCGGGCGCCCCGCGGGTGCGACGGAGACGGAGCGGCGAAAGCACACTGTTCGAACGCAGCCCGCGGCAGCCGGTCGTCCCGCCGCGTCCCGCGCAACCTGGCCGGTCGGCCCCGAACCCAAGCCACTCTGATAATCCAGGATAATCCCTGCGGATCGGATCGCGGATCGCGGGTCGCGGACCGTATTGGGTCGGCGCCGCCCCGCCTCACTCCTTTCCTCTGTTCTCGAGTGAGAGGCTGGGCGGGCAGGCTTGGGGCAGAAAAAGGACGATCGGAAGGAAGGAAAGGGACGGAAAAGGTCCTGAAATTTTATCTGAGTCCTGGATGCCCAATAAAGCGTGACTATTCTCAAAGCGGGCGCTCTGTGAGTGCATCGGGGCCGCACACAGCACACACAGCACGAATTGCACTCCGGCCAGTAAAGGGAGGAGAAAAAAGACGGAACAAAAAAGTCGGTCTTTGAACCCGCGCCGCCGCCGTCGAGGCTGTCGCCAAAATACCTGTCGGCGGGCGCGCGGAGTGGCGCGGGTTTTGGCCAATTTTACGACGCGTGGGGGGCAGTAACCGTATTTTTGGCGGGGCTTTCGCGCGGACGGAGCGAGTCCATTGGCTCGTCCGGGTGATGGGTTGGGGGGCCCTGCCTGGGCCTGGCCTGGGCCTCCACTCGACTGCCGTGGCGCGGCGCGGCGTGCCGCGTTGGTGGCGGGACGGTCGGGACCCCTTGCTCCCCATTTCGCCCCTTTGTCTGCGGGTGAATTCCCTATGTCGTGCGGGGACAGGCCGGCTGGAACCACACCGCAGTCCCGCGCCCCGCCCCGCCCCGTCCCGCGCTGCGCGACGACCAGTGTGGGAGTCCATGAATGGGCACTGCGCCTCGCAGTGCGTGCGGCGCGTGCGGCGTGCCGCGCCGTGTCGTCCCTCCCTGTCGCCCACTGCAGCCGCGGCGAAACCGGCTGCGGCCGGGGAATTTCCAACAGTGCCCCCGTCGCTGTCTCTTTCGCACTCCAGCGGGGCGCCCACATGGGTGCGAGAGAGACGGAAGCCCCGCTCGGACTCGGCCCGGAGGTCATCGGGGCTGACGACGACGCTTGAGCCTTTCAGGAACGTTTACCATTCTCGCTGGAGCCTTTCTTTTCAGCCTGACATGAGCCCGCTGGAGCCTGGAGGCGGCCTGGAGGCTTCCCTTAGCTTGCTGGATCCCTTTCGCAGCCCCTGGAGCCTGCCTGAGACTCCAGCAGTCTGCCCGAGCGAGCGAGAAGGGTGATTCCTTGCTCCCCCGCACGCACATCGGCCCTGCCCCGCCCTGCCCCGCCCTGCCCGGCCCCAGGAGGGAAAGCGGTTGAAAGCTAAGGGCGAAGGGGCGCGGCTCGACACGGCACGGCCCGCTGCAGGGGCTGCCTGCTCGGGCTGCCCGCCTGCCCTGCGCGGCAGTCCAGGGTTCGATCTCCGGCCCCCCAATTGAGTTTGAGAATAGTTTGAGCGTCGGAGTGGCGGGCTGATGGGTCGTGGGGAGGCCTTCATCCTTGACGGCGGCCTCGTGCCCCGCGCCGCCGCACCTGTCCGCCACACGGGGCAGGCTGAGGACGCCGTCGAACACATCGCGGTGGGGTGGTAACAAAAGGGGATGTTTTTGTTTTCATTTTTTTGGGGCTCATTAACCAGGCCGTTGCCGGGAGCGCGGAGACAGGACGAGAATTGTCTCTTTTTGTCTGGCCGCGCAGTCACCGGGCGTGACTCTAATGCCTTCCTGGTGCCGGCAGCCCGAGCTGCCAGCCAGGCAGCCCGCGCTGGCTGCGGTGCGTGCGGCCATGTTGACGTGTTCCTTGACCTGCTTCATTTACATTTCCGGGCTTCGCGTCTCCACCGCCGGGATGACGTGATAGAGAGGGCGGCGGCCGCGGAGGCACGGATAGAGAGATAGAGAGGCATGCCGAGGGGGAAATGCGCATGGAAATGAGTCAGTCCTAATTCCATTCCGATCGCACACCCGCCGTGCCGTTCCGAGCCGCGCCGAGCCGCGCCGAGCAGCGCCAGCCGCACATCAATGATTTTTGCGTAACACCCCCGAGAATGAACTGATCTGGAATTCAACGCGGCGCCCGTCACGGAGTGTTTGTGGAGGGGGGCGGGTAGGGGGCGGCCCGGGGGCGGGCCGGGGAGCGGAAGCGAACCGGGGGCGGCAGCCGCCACATGACGAAGCGTTAACCCTTGCTGCCCCGCGGCGAACCCACCACCAGCCACTACGCCACTCCGCGCGCGTGTGTGAGTGTGTCGGTGTGTGCGCGCCGCGATATAGGCCCTTCCCGTCGCCGTGCCCTCGGGGACCGCCGCCACCACCACCACGCCTCACGGCCGCGGACGTTACCATGGCGACAATGGTTGCGGTGTGCGGTCGGGCCGGCGGGCCGTGCTGCTGGCCGCGGTGGTGGTGGTGGTGACCCCTGCGGGGGCCGGGGGGGCAGTCGAACGTCAAAACGTCGCTTCCGCCTGAACGGAGTCCCCGTCGGTCCCCGTCGGTCCCCGCCCCCGCGCAGCGCGCAGCACCGCGGCCAGGGCAGCGGACCGTGGTGCCCAGCAAACAACGTGGCAGGCCTGTGTACGCCCCCAGTGCCGCCAGTGCGCAGCGCGCGGTACAGCGCGCCCCCAGCCACGGAAGGACATGGCCTGCTTGCGCCCCGCCCGGCCCCGCCCGGCCAGCCCCGCCCCTGTTTCTCTGCTGTCGCACTTTCTTGCCGGAGCTTTCTTCTGGCAGAGTTTCCTCTCGCACTACTACTTCCGCTGCTTTCTCCTCCCTCCGCCGCCTCCCCTGTCGTCGTCATAATGCACACACACTTTTATTTTCTTCTTTTCGCGGTTTCCCCCTTTTCTCTCTCTCCCGCGCCCCGCGCGCGTACTGTTCTCCTTTTTCTTTATTTTTTACTCTTTTTTTTCGCTGTGTTGCCGCTGGCGGGGGTGGCGTCTTCGCGGCGTCGACGTTCGACGCCGCGCTTCGCTCCGCCGCATCGCCGCGTGTAGTCCTCGATGTCGCGTTTCATTGGCGGCGACATGATTGTCGAGTTGTCACCGCCCCGCCCCACTTCGCTTTGCCCTGGGCAAACGCGCCGTGCCCCGGGCTGGCTGCCTGGCTGCCTGCCCGCCTGGCTGCCTGGCTGGCTGCAGGGGTCGAC